TAAGATATGCAGCTGGTATACTGGTTAGGAACCTGCTTCGTATAAGAAAAGAAAGAAGAGGGGCCCTGCTGCTGCTGTTGTACCCTTTAGGTGCGTCAAGTATATACTTAAAGGCCCGAGGGGCCCCCAGAAAACTTAGCACGCACAGAGGGGGGCCCCAGTATGTGTTGAGGCGCGGGAGATGCAGACGCGCAGGAAGGGGGAAGCCGCATGCTCCTTCTAGAGCGGCCAACCCTTTTGCTGTTGGTAATTATACGATTAAAATGATATTAAATGCAAATTCTTTTTTGAAAACAACTTTTTTTATGGCGTCAATGAGGGGGGGCTGACAAAGAGAGCGGACGGGGCTGCAGGCACAGGCGACAACCGCGAGAAGGCGCTGCTGTACGTACACTTGAATGATCTAATTTGTACCTACCACATAAATATTACGTAATTTATTTAACGCGAAATGTTTAAAAGCACTTTTATCTTTTTGCTAAGCTGTCGGCGTGCCTGCGAGCGCTGGCGCAGGCAGAGATCAGCTACTGGGGCTGGAGGAACTCTCTAATCCATTTCCTTCATTTTCTTGTCATTTCTGTTTAATTCAATTATTTTTAAATCATTTTGACTCTCCTCCAACTGCAGCAACCGCTCACAGCTACTCTTAAAGCAGATGCTTAATAAACATACTCCCCGGGCGGACGCTCCGTATAACGAATTGCAAAAGCAACAAACACATAAATAGGAATTAATTAGCTTCCTGTGTAAACACAACAAAATGAAGAAAGAAGAGAGAGGCAAATAAATAGCGTTCTATATCGGGCCATTTACTGTGATGTTTTTAGCCAAAGAGGAGAAATGAATCAATACACAACGTCTCTTCTTACTTTTCCCTGCGTAGGTACAGCAACAAAGCAAATGCGCAGTCTACCGTAGCAAACTTCAGGTGTATCTGTTGTTTCCTTTTAGAGGAAATCACTGCTTATGGAGTTTTTGTTGTTCGTAGTTTAGTTAGGGCATAAAATATACTGACAGATAACAAGATGTCATAAAGGACGGGCATATAGCAGCGACGTTTGGTTCGTATCTTTTGCTGCTGCTGCAACATCGTGCATACAGACAACCATTGCATGCATCATTGTCTGTGTCTAATAACTCTCAACTCAGCAGCAGACAATTGGGAAGGGCTATATATGTTGCTCCCTTCATAATGAACAGAAGTAGAGAAGGAGCAGCAGCAGCCTAGTGAGGTAGATTGTCTGCTGACTGCTGCCGTCAGTTGATGAGAGTGTAGAAGAATTTATGTTCGCTTTGCTACTATTGATGGCGGTGCAGCTGACAAATGCATTTACCAAGTTGCATGTGTGTATGTTTGCATACATGCATGAAGAGGGCGAGCAACTGGTGTTGCGCTTATGTCTAATTAGGGCTACTAGCGCTGCTGCTGCAGAAAATGCAAGGGAACACAAAACCAAGCAACAGTAGCAGAAGCAGAAGCAGCAGCAGGAGCAAACTGTTACTCGTTTGGAGTTACTAATGCAAGCGAGCGCGCTCGTGTTCGCCTAGCCCAGGCGAAGAGTGTTTGTTCTGTGATACTCCTTCCATCAATGGATATCCGCTGCATAAGAGATAATATCTCTTCTCTGCTGATGGGAGGCTTCATGCTGCAGCACAGCAGCATGCAAAGCAGCAAAACCATCAAACAAAAGAGAGCAAGAATAATAATACAATAAAACCTACCCGCTAAGTGCTCCTTCCAGCTCTTCTAAAGACTGCAGTAGACGCCACAAGAAAATATTAAGCAATGTATAAAGGGAAACAGACTGTTAAATAGTGCCTTACTATTTGTCTGTCCCCATCAGTATCCAACCAATCAAAAAGACGACCAAGTGTAGCCTTCTGGTGCTCTGCGAATTCAGGTTCAACCCCTAAGCCACCGAGCAGCACTACGAAGGCTTTAAAGTCGTCAAACTGCAGATAGCCACTGTATACGTGTTGCAGCATTTGAATAAAAGGACAAAAAGGCCATTATGTTCTTATATACAGGAAACAGACCTCCTCCTCTCATCTACTATGCGAAACCAGTCTTCGGCAAATGTTCTCGCGTCTTCTTTGCTTGTCTACAATGCTTATAGATTCAGCATAAGTCAGCATAGGTTCATTTATTTGTTCTTACAGTTTCTGCTCGTGTGCATCGAATAACGTCTTCTATGGCCTGTCGCGACACCACACCGGGTGCCTCTGCATAGAGTAGGGAGACGCCAATTCGATACTTCACACACACAAGGCAACAGAGAACTACCTGCATGCGGGAAACGGTCTGGGTGTTCAGCTAGACAGGAAAACAAACTCCTGATATACGTGTGCGCCTGGGGAGGCAGTCGGTTGTAAGCAGCCAAGAGGCTCTGTAGTTGCACTGCTGCGGCATGCTCGATCTTGCCGCCCTGCCGCAAATAATTTCTTATTGCTTATTTCAATGAGTTACAAGAAAACACTAACTCACTTGGTGCATTAAAAAGTCAAGAATCTGAACGTCACGCTGCAGAATGACCTGCGAAACCCCGGAGCATAGGCAATGCTCATAGGAGAGAAAAGCAATATTTTGGTTCCTTACTTGGTCTTGTTCTGATTCTACTTCTCTTATTTTATTCGCACTTGCAAGGAAATCCACATGGAACACAGTGGTGAACGTTCTCAGGAGCTGTACGGTATATTCGCTTAGTAATGCGACATTGACAAAGACAAGAAATATTGACCAAGTAGTGTACTACTGATTATGATGCTTAAATGGTGTGATACTGACTAAGTGGTGTATTTAACACTGACTACGTATTGTATAGTATTGCCTAAGACGTGCATGCAGTATTGAACGTCTCACCCTCGTCCATAGATAGAAGGATATCCCTAAAGGGATAAGAGTTAGCGGATACGACCAGTTGCCATTCTCCCACCAGATGTACCGCGAGCCCGCCTCTTGTGCGAAGAAACACATGAACAGCACCGACGTATACGCAGCGTGGAAAAACAGGAGAAGCTGCAGCAGCCGTTTGTAGTAGCGGGGGTCTGAAGAATGCAACAACAAGTATTACTCCCTATGCAAGCGTTAGACAAGAAGTCAATAGGGAGTTTCACGTACTGCCGAAGGGAAACAAAGCTGCTGCCCTGTTAACCACCTGCAAACAGAGAAAATCAGGCATCTAACGAGATACATAAAACAACTTCTTCCTAAAACATCTTACGCGTTTTCGTGGCCATCGTTTTGTTATTGCCAGAGGCCTGCAGAAGAAGAACACGTTTTGTTTTATAGTTCAAGAAGAAGTATTTATTGAATAAAGACAGCATTCAGTTTCTGTTTCTGACCCGTCATCTATGGGGCAGTGCAGGGCTTGAACCACCTCATCATCAGGTGGCGTCAGAGGGGCACCAAAAAGGGTAAGGAGGGCCCCTGCATCGGGACGTATCTTTGCGTCTGCATATTTGAGGAACCGGTAGGCGAGGTAGGTAGAGAAGAGGAGTCCAAAGGCGGCAATAATCATAAAGATGATCACCTCGCGACCTGGCAGAGATAGAGCGGGTCTTAGCAAGACCACAATCAACAGAGTCAGAACCAAGATGCTTGGAGGCAGCTCAATCATCGTAGCGAGACTGTCACCGAAACAATGAATTAAATAAGCAGCAAAGGAGAACCTTGGTGACCCCGGTTCCTGTTTGCGGGGTTTCGGCATGAGGGGATTAGCAGCCAAAACAAAACGCTGGCGAATTCCCCAATGTTCAAGTGCCTTTCTTGTCATCTTCTCATTGCTGTTTTGTGTTCTGCCTTCATGCAACGCTGCAACATCATTCTTCAGATCCTCGTCTGTCTTTGAATCAAGATATGCAAGAGATCTCATGGTGCGGTACCCGACAGCTGTGAGGGCCGCCACCTGGCATATAAATGTCACCATGATCAAGAAAATCAGCACATGGATCGTCTCAAAGGTTTCTGTTAAATGTGTAGGAGGGTACGGCTCTTCTCCCTTAGCTTCTGCCTCTGCTATTGCCGCCTCCTCAGTCTTTGAGACACCCAAATACTTGTCGTTTACCTTGCGAACAGCTCCAAGACGGATTGTTGCATACAAAAACAAGCTGATGAAACCCAAGATCGTCAGCTCCTTAAACGCACAATTCAACATCTCCTGCAACTTGTGAAACCCTCGTCGACGCAGATAATCCTGTAACGACCCAACCAGGGTCTCAAATAGTATTGACAAGATAATTATCACAATGAACAGCACAATCAGGACCCAATTCTCCACGAACTCCTCATGGGTTTCACGCTTCACCGTTGTCTGATCCTGTAACAACAAATCATCCTGAGCCACCCATTAACAAGAATAGCAACGCCAAGGAGTTTTAAAGACGTACCTCCACACGAAGAAAGTCGTAAGAAGACCGGTTATTATATACTGGCTGTGGGTCTTCTACCTTCGCCCGCACGCCCAAACCAAGGGCAATCTGCACGCAGGCAAGCGCCACCGCTATGCCCCAACTCCATCCCATCTCACTTGAAGTAGACCCACTGTTTGCAACATACAGAAAATACCCGGAATTCTACCTAGGCGGGTTTTAGTTGACGTTGCATCCTCAATAACTCCTCCTCCGGTAGCCTAGGGCGAGGCACGTTCAACATCTTGTGCTGTACGGACCGGTGGAATAAGTGAAAAGGCGTTAACTAAACGAAGCAGAAAGGAGTGCAAGAGGAATTTCCCGTCATTGGTAACGGGACTCTGGCCCACAAATGGCTACGTTAAATTCGAAATACAAATGTGTAGAGATCGGTTTCGAGTTCAAGAAAGCCAACTGTAGGAAAGATGAGAGAGTAGACTAAGCGGCATCTTTTGTATGGGATAAAAATCTTTGGCTTTGCATGCATGCAGTAAAGAATCCCTCTTGTTGTATTCGGTTTTCCAACAAGTCATTTCATTCTTGACGTTTTTAGAGAACGACCTGCTGTGGTTTTCGTGAATATGACAATGTCCCAGCATGTTATGAGGGATACGCCTTAAATGCACTGGTAATTCCTCGTTAGTCTTTTTTTGCTTATCGATTTTAAGTAGTCAAACTATGTTTAGGACAATACTAATAGGAAACCGACCCATAATATTTCCTAGAGCAGTTACCTATGCTTATTTCTAGCAAGCAAAAACAAGTTCCGTGCATACGCCAGAGTTTTATTGAGTCCGACTGATTGCCAAGTTTTTGGAAATTTTTAGCTTCCATCGACATATGAAACAAAAAGGGGATAACACTCTGGTAGAACCCGCATGACACACAACAGCATATTTGCAAGCAGCATGCTAAGTTCAATGCAAGACGCATTCATACAGAAGGTTTGAGTACAATACAATATATTTATTGGCAGAAGGCTTAAATATAATGCAGTATATTCTTAACAGACGGTCTAAATCTTGTCTGCTTCCCATGATCCACCAGGTTGTCCTGCATGTTGCACGCGGCTAGTGGAGCACAGGGTTACAGGTTTTAATGAGTTACTCGGCTGGTTTTTAGCATTAGAAAAGGGCAATTTTCGTTCATTATATTCACCTACCCTACATAACAAAACCTTTAACAACAAAGGAATCGTGCTCTGGAATCCAGCCCCGTGCGATGGGGCTCCTCCCGACCGGCGGCTGAACCATTTGGTAAGAGGCCCCAGGTGAGTCTGTTGGATGCTGTGAAGGCCGAGAGAATTTAAAAGAAAGAAAAAATAATGGCAAATGCTGTTATATATTCTCTCTATGTTAGTTAGATGCAGTGCTACGGTGTCTGGGCATTTGAAAAAGAACCGGCTCTGCGCTGCATGTCCTGTGAGATCCCCGCATTTGCCTCCCTGCTTTAGAGCCTTATCACCTCAGTTTTATTGAAATTGCAGTTTCGGTCAATGCCTCAGCCTCTCCTTCGTCAAGTGACTGTATTTAGCTTCCCGTTCGCTCCCTTTCCAGTTGCAGTAACTGAGCGCCTGCAGAACACCAAGGACCTCACCACCCACCATTTCCTGCAGGCTCGCACGTCAGGCTGTCTGCGAAAAACAGCCGTTTCAGAGCTGCAACGTCGGCAGCCTCCTTGTGCTCTCCTTTTTTGTTTATCTTCCCGCGCGCACAGAGGTCATTGAGGCTTCCTCACTTCCGCAGCAGATCTGCAGTACAGCAGCCAGGGAAGGCGGGAGCAGAAGGGGCTGTTTGTCTTACTCTGCATTTGCACAGGATATTTATGAGTTGCTGAGAAGGATTTCTTGGATGGTTAATGTTTAGGGGTGTGGGCTGGCGATACAAAGGAGGCGAGGATCTAGCTCAACGAGGGAGAGGAAGGCTTTGCAGAACTTCTAGTACATTTTCGCAAGCATCTCATTCTCCTGATTTTGAATTATATGATGCATTTACTACGTAATTGTGTGCGCTGTATGCGTGCAATTTCGAGTTTGCCTGCGTGTTACTGAATATCTTGCTCTGAATTGACGAGTGCGCGGGTTTGTTCCTCTCATGATCCATTGCCTGCACTGTTTTCAGCAGCATATATGGAGTTGAAGTGTACCTTTCATATTGGTTTAGACATTTAAGCACAAGCCGCACACATGCAATTCTTTTTTCATTTGATGCATTGATTTAAACTGTATGCATTCAACCGCCAAGCCGAGTAATTGAACATGCCGTGTGAAGGCGAACGGCAAACAGCCGTCGCCCGCCCCCCCGCGCAAACCGACAGCAAAGGGGTTTCCGCAGGAAAACTGCCTACAGTTACAGCAGCAGACAGGCGAGACATGCATACCACTTCAGGAGGAGCAGCAACAACAGCACCAGTAGCCAAAACAGCAGATGCAAAGGATGGCAACTATCAGAAGCAGCAGGCTGCAAACGCTCCAGAGCCCTTGCCAGAGCCGACATATCAACATCACAAGACACGCGACAGGATTCGCAGGGCGAAGAAACAACACCGGTGGGTTTGGCTGGATTCTGTGCTTGTGGCCTTGATTGTCATCTATGTGAGCGTTATCATCATTAGCAACAGCAGCAGCGTCTTATCTCCTGCAGCTGCTGTTGCTTCTGGTGCGCAGGGGTGACCTACACTGGAGCGAGTGGAACAAATTCCGTTATGCTGAATCCAATTTCTGTGAAGAATCGATGCATATTAAGGAGAACTTGCCGCGTATTCACAAGAAAGACACTACGCTTGTCGGTGAGTCGTATGGGTTTCCTCTGTATATCGTGCTTACCACGAGCAAGACGAAACTAATCAGACGAACTGTATCTGTTCAAATAGGCTTCAAACAGTTTGACTTGAGCCATGCTGAGTACTACACCCCAATTAACCTTTTTGCGTAATGCTTGACTGCTCTTTTGCATCTCCGCCGAGTTAAACTAGGCTAGATTGTCTGGGCTTAACACAGTTTGTTTGCACGACGTAAATTGAGGCGTTTTTATTTGCTGCAGAATTTATAAAGAAATTCGAGGTCCCTGGGAAGCCGGTGTTGCTATGTGGCTGGATGGAAGATTGGCCTGCGAGAGAGAAATGGACGATTGAAAATTTGCGTCGCGATTATCGCACTGCCAAGTTCAAAGTGGGAGAAAAAGACAATGGCGACAAAATACGCCTGAAGATGGTAGGTCTTTGTGCTCGAGAGTGGAAGGTTAAGGGTGTAGGGTTTAATGTCCGTTGTTTATGAGCATAGGCTGCTGGTTCTCGTTGTAGGTTTTATTCCATTGGGGTGCACTCGCGCTCCTGCTGCTGCTGTGGTTTACTGCTCAGAAGTACTTTATTGATTACTTGAGGCACCAGAACGATGACTCGCCGCTGTACCTCTTTGAATCCTCTGTAGAAGACAAAGCAGACACTTGGTGGGCTCAAGAAACAAAAGATGGGATGATTTGGTTTTCAGCGTTGTTTTGAGTGCATGCAACGTGTTGCCTATATCAGCACGAACACGTACGTGAATTATCGTGTCCCTCTATCATATCAACGAATATTCAATTTAGTGTGTATGAGTTTATTTAATTTGTTTTTGACTTCTTTGCATGCAGCGGTCTGCTAAAGGACTGGGAGGTGCCGGACGTCTTTCCTGTCGACCTGCACGCCATCGTAGGCGAAGAGCGGAGGCCGCCGTGAGGCTCCCCTTTAGAAGGCAGTGTAGTTACCAAAGAAGGAAGAGCATTTACTTGTCATTACCATGGCAGCCAGAGTGGTGAAGCTGGTGAATCTAAGCTAAACAGGCACAGACTCACCAACAAACAAGAATATCCGCTTCTCATTCATGTTCATTGTGGTGGTGCAGATACCGCTGGTTTTGTATCGGCCCCAAACGCAGCGGTACAACCGTCCACACCGACCCTCTGGGCACTGCGGCTTGGAATGCCGTCACCTCTGGCTACAAGCGGTGAGTGACTACTTCTTTCTCTCATTCGTTTTCCCTGGCTTCCTCTTCGCCTTCTTTTCCAACGCTTTTTTGCCGTTGTTGTTTTGCGTGTTCTCATCCTTATCCTTCTTTCCATCAGTCACGTTTATCTTGTACTATATCGGGAAGGAGAGTGATTTTATGTGGGCCTTTTCCATCTTTTTTTCTATGTGCACCCGTTGTGTGGATTTGGTTTGTTAGGTGGGCTTTGTTTCCTCCCAACACTTCAAAACAAATAGTGAAGGGGAAGCACCTCATGAAACCTGGCGAAGACGACGAGCCCATCATGTGGTTTCACAACATTCTCCCGCGCATCAAACAGCAGTACCCAGATATACCTGTCTATGAGGTGAGAGGCAATTCAGAATATCAACTTTAGTATATTTACACTAAAATTAATGATAATGCATGCGCATTGTACTATCACCAGTAGAAACGACCCGTGCTGTTACAGTAAGAACAACGCACGTAGTTTTCATGCATGCGTGTATCGCATTCGGGGCTTCTGATAGTAATAACTTTATTGTGCGAGAAGCGTGTTGCCTCATGATGAACTGAAAACAAAGGAGGACTGCAACGTCACTCCCCTAGTGCTGTTGTCCGTGTGGATGTTTGGTGCTTGCAGTGCGTGCAGCGGCCCGGGGAGATAATATACGTCCCGCCTAATTGGTGGCACGCGGTGCTGAATTTGACAGACTGCGTTGCCTGCACCCAAAACCATTTGTCTTTTGGGTTTCTAGATCTGGCCTGGAGAAAATTAAGAAAAGGAAGAAGGCGGCTCGCTGCCCAGTGGTTCAGTAGACTGCAGCAGTATTTCCCAGAGAAGGAAATTTATCATAGACTGAACCTCTCGAACAAGTGCGACTCACACAACAAACAAACTGACAGACAGAAGAGTAGAGGCACACACGCGGACTGGCACTACTTCACTGATAGTCGCAGTAGACAAACTGCAACAGATGCGTAACCCGCCATTACCACTAACGAGGGAGGGGGCACAGCACTGCACTTGTTTTCTATGTCTGTTCGCGCCGGTCTGGTTGTCTGCATGCGTTCGTCCGTGTGAGATAGAAAGATAGTTGAACGAAAGACAGTATCCTTTTTATCCCTGTTATCCCTGTTTCTTTAGGGTGGATGGCTGGGAGGTGCGCTCTGGAAAGTTTTGCCGCGTGCGGGCATCGAGCGGCTTTGGGACGGACGTGAGCAGCAGCAGCAGCAGTAGCAGCAGCAGCAGCAGCAGCGCGTCTTCAGACGACGAAGACGAGTTGAATGAAGTGCGTCAGCATGTGCTCCGCACGCGAGCAGCGATATCTCCTGAAGCATGGAAGGCGTATTTTCAGAGTCCTGTTGAAGTCCTTCCCACACCCTGTGCCCTCCCCGTAGCCAACACGCCACTAGCAAGGTTGACGGAGCCCTGCAAGAACCGCGCTACTCCTCTCGATAAGAGAACGCTGCCGCTGCAGACGAAGGGAGGGGAGAAGGTTGCAAGAAGGGCCCCATGCACTACATCACAGCAAGAGGGAAGGGAAATCGCAGAGGGAAAACGACAAAAAACACAAAATTAGAAACGCCCTAGGCAAATTAGTGGAGGCGAAATCCTCTACTGGTCGGCCCGTATATGCGGCGTACGCACCACAAGGAGCACGCACACCTTGTGGTTCGCCTTGTTGGCGCTGCTCTGGCTAGCGCAGCCTCCTATTGCTATCCACCACAAACTTTCTATGCAGATTCAGGGCGTTGTACATTTTGTTCAATTTGTCTTCTGCAACGGAGAAGTAGTTTCCCCGGGGGCGGCTTCAGGTATCGCTGCAGCACCTCCTGGGTGCTGACTCCTTCTTTCCGAGAAAAACAACAGCTTGTGTTACTTTTAAGGGGACGTTGAGCCTTTTCTCTTTATATAGGTGTAAGCAGTTGGTTGTATACTTCAGTTGCAGGTATTAGGTGGGAAGCCTTCAAGTAGCTTGTTCTTCACTTGGGTTTCGTGTGCTTCTGCGTCCATTCGGCGCTTGATCTCAATGAGCCGCTGCACGCTGTCTAGAGGAAAATAATTATTCTGTTCTCTAAATACAACGGGGAATGGCAGTTTCCCTGCTATCCTTTTGAAGGCGTGGTAGTTGGGGGCCTGCGGCATGAAGGTGTGGAAGGGATTAACTTGTGGGATGTGGAACAACACACGTCCTGGAACAAAAACACACAAACACACTACAATAATACTGTAAATACACCGCAGCTGCGGAGAGTCTCCTGAAAACGCCAGTAACAAAGGAGGGGAAGGAAGAGGAAACAGGAAAGAAAGGAAACTAATTAGGGAGAGTCCATCAAATGAACTCGTAAGCGAAAAGTGGGCGCCGGCATTAACAATAGCAATGAAAAATGAAAATAACTGCTGCTATTGTCAGCGTTGTCATTATGAATTTCCTTCCATAAATATATACCTGCTGGGACGCGTGCAACGAAGTGATGTATGGCACCTTTTCCCTGTCCCATCTTCACCCCCTCCGCCTTCCTGGTAACAGGATAAGTTGCATGCACTGTTGCATGTACTTCTTTAGAACGACCCAAATACCTGAAACACAGCTGCACGCACTTCTTTAGAATAAACCCAAAGCCCTAACATCACACTAATCGGGTCCCTTTCATCGTTGTGCTAGTGGAGCATCTACCAAGCTAGGACACTGCTGCGCATTTCGAAGCTCATGCAGTACTCAGCATTACTCGCAAGACCTAATGCGAAGCAGGGAGAGGGGATGGGAACGAAAGGCAGGGAATAGCTGCTGCACCTCCTCAACGTCCTTCTCGCCTGCTCCAGCTGCTCCGCTGTGATTCTGTGGGGGGCAGCAGCGACGACAGTCTTGCCGATCTTGATATCGGGTTCATTGAGCGGAACGATGCGACCTTTAGGACAACGAATGCGCACTTGCTGCGGTGCCTTGAAGCGCACCGGCGGCATTTCCACCTATACCTTGTTTCCTTACTCCACCCGAATAAGTCACATTGATACTGAAAAGAAGAGAGGGAAAATATCTGTTCAATGGCGCCGTCAACAAGCTCGAGAAACAGCTTGCAAGACTTTCACGCCACTAAGGCAGGTGGTTGAACGCGAAGGCATCTGGCAGAAACACGGCTAAACAAGAAACTAAACTCTTTGACCTAGACAGTAAACCTCATCTCTATAAATACGGCTAGGTAATAAGACATTAGGAGGATGTTCAAATATTGTCATTTCACTCGCATGCAAGACGCAAGCCCCCCAGTGGCAGGCATAGTCCTGTTGCTGAGTTCCCCTAGTAACAAGATTATCAAGCCTCATGGTATATATCTAGTCGAAAAAATACAGTAGTAAAATTACACAATTACTTAATTGTTCTCCATAGCTTTATTTGAGATTGAACTTGGCAAAGACCAAACTCGATTCAACTAGTCATGGTTAGTGTTATGGCAGGCAAACGGCATAGCTAGAGTATATATGCCGAAGTATTTCATGGGATTCTGCTGAATATACGAACACCATAGATGAAAAAACAAATAGAAGAAACTGTTAGAAAGGTGTTACGAGTGCAAGAAAAGAGCACACCAGATGGGACTCGAACCCACAACCTTAGCCTTAGGAGGGCTACGCGCTATCCATTGCGCCACTGGTGCTTGGTTGGGGTAACTTCCGCCAGTGTGCTAAGATGGAGCTTGACGCATCACAGAATATTCCGGCAGTTTATGAGGACGCAAACTCGAATAGATAACTTACAAATGGCTGAAAAGTTATACTTAAATGATAATATTGAATAAATAGAGCACAAGATGGGACCGGAACCCACTGCTAGGGACGGCTACGCGCCATTGCTCCACAGCTACAGCTGCTCGATTCAACCTCCCTAGTACTACTAGTGCTTGTGTGACCTGTGTCACTGTGATCGTAGAACAGGAATGCTAAGAACAAATAAACAAATAGGTAACAACCACAATATTACGGATTTATCCTGAACTTCCTTCGTTCAATCACGCAAGGATCGTGCAACAATCGACCGTGCATGGCCAGTTTCACAAGAGTAGGTCAAATGTTGAGGTTCCACATGCTGGCTTCTCCCGTTTGAATGACACCAACAAAATGAACCAAATTACTGCCCAAAAAGAGAAGCCCGCTTGGCAAAAAGAAACTGGAGACCCAGTTCGCCCAAATGTACTCCAGGAAAAAACACATTATACAAGACACACCTTTGATTTCGTGATTCTGATCTGTGGTCTACCAGGGTTAAGGCATTTGATGCTCGTTTGTTGCAGGGAAATCAAAACTCTGTGTGGGGTACAGCATCCGGCAGGTGGTGAGCCATATCTTTTACTTTGACGAGAAGGTCGTTTAACAGAGAACGATGAGTAGGATGGCTAGCTGCACTCTTTAAGTCCTCCAGTGACGGCCAGACGAGAGAGCTGAGTAGTCCATCCAAGGCCCACAGTAGCCAATTGCTTAGCACGCCCACAGAGCTCCACAAAGTGAGGAGAGCCCGATCCACAGCCATCAGCAGGCGTACAACTGCAACCGCCACTTCGTCGGGCAGATACGGCCTGCAAATGAAGAAGCAGCACAGGAACTGCACCATGTGTTGTTGATGGAGAGAAAACGAGGAGAGATTCAAACAGAAAACGTAAGGAGAAGGGAAACTCACGCCAACGTGAAGGCACAATAACGGGCACAGCCGTAAAGGCTCGCTGCCATAAAGATGTAGAAAAGAGTAGAAACGATGGGGCGAACCATTTTGGACCACAAAGCATTCAACAGCAGCACCCTGCGAAGTCGCGCATGTTGTACAGAAAACGCCTTGCTGGCACCTTTTCACCACTTAACGGAACTGGGGTAAATTTCTTTGGGCTCTTTCAACAATTTATTCCCCTAGAAGCACCATACAGATACGGCAGGCTTAGTGCTCTTTAGGCCAATGATTAACAGCGTCTGGCGGCTACTGAAGTGTTTTTGAAAAGGTTAAACGCTTTATCAGCCATCGGAAAAGTGAATGGTGGATGGCTTATTGAGTGTCTCTGCACCAACGTGACAGCCTAACTGCGGTGAACTACGGTGTTGTAGTGTCCTCTTGCTTTGCAATAGGGAATCGGGATAATATGCCCTCCTCTTGTTTTGCAATAGGGAATCAGGATAATATGCCTGAGCCCAGACCGGGTACTGTGTGGCAAAGTGAATGGACTCAAGAATAACTCAGCAGTAGACTGAAGACGGAATCAACTCGTTCTAAGTACGCAGTAGACTGAAAAATGGAAACAACTCAGATGGAGGGGCTTGTGCTCCGGCGGTTTCAGCAAAGACGCACGCGCAGGCTATCCATTCTGCCAGCGTTAGGGCAGAGACGATCCATGACAGATACAAGAGACAGTCATTTACTCCGCATGTTCCGTAGGGCCAAGCCAGCTTGTCCGCTACAAAAGCGTGCTTTACGAGGTTGTGAAACCACGTGAGTTGGAACACGGAAGCTGAGCAGGCGCACCACCAAAAGGGAAGCAGCAGATCTGTAGCTGGACAAGATACCTACGCGGAGGTGTATGTGGCCTCTGACATGCTAGACTAGAGGAGAGGCTGTTAAACTGGAAGCCCTCTCTGAGCTATTCGGATTCCATTTCTGGAGTGGCGGCACTTACAAGAAAGTGTCCGTTAAGACTTTGTGGAAGCACTTGCGCTATGAATTCTGCACGTCTCACTTACGCAGTCGAATTGGAATAAATTCCTGAATGTCTGGGACTGCTCCTTTGACACTTTGCAACAACATATTGGCATTAACTATGAAAATCGCATGGGCGAGCAGCCAGGATGAAACCAGTAGCGCCCCAGCCAGAGACTTCGCAGGCGTCATTTCCGATGTATTCCCAGATCACGACCTATATCTTCTTTGAATTGTCGAAGAACGGGAGGGAGGCCAAACGAGGAGGAACGCCTCGCCTATACAAGGCGATGGTCCTGCTGAGATGCACGGGCTGCCCAAACCGACGTAACCACACTGAAACACAGCAGTGTTCAAAGTCACTGAGAACATCCAGGTTTGGGCAATGAAATTGGAGGTACGAATCGCCAGTTTAACGGGAATGAATATCGCCAACGGCCGGCTGGCGATAGTCCATCAGCAGAGCTACAACTTGCAAGTCGCCTTAGGAGCAGCAGAAAGCAGCATTAACACCTGTGAGAAAAACATCTCGGAAGAAATAAACACTATTTATTACATCTTGATGTGTCAACTTCTTCCCCTCTTGCACCTCTGTGACTCAACTCGGCCTTTGGGCCCGAGCGAGACGCGCCCGTTCCATTCGGCTGCGGCTGCGGCTGTTGCTCTCCTAGGTGCTGGTGTTTGTTGCAGCCACATTTGGCCTTTCTGCCTTTTGTTCAGTTAAAACAAGTATTTGTAGTTACGTCGTAGTTTTTAACGTATCAAGGTCCCCTATTTGTTGGGCCCTGTAGCGCCGTCGACTCGCGCCTTCAAAGGGGCCCCCGTTGGCGTTCCGCAGCCCCACGCCCCTTTTAAACCAGAGGTGAGATTACATTTCCTTCTCCCTCTGCTAATAAACAAAGGCAAACCATTTGAAACTCGGATTTATATTTGCTGCCCCGTTAACCGACCCTGCATCCCTCTGGGGCCCTTTCGACTGGGGCAACGGCGCTCGGGGAGGAATCCGCACCGTCGGCTCTTCCTGCTTGCACTTGTCTTGCAATATAAAACAGAGCAAGCTAAGGCAGCAGACATAGAACAACCCAATGTTTGGGAAGTTCAGAGGCAGCTGTAATAGCAGCAGCAGCGACAACAGCAGTAGTAACTAGAAAGGGTGTAGTGCGCAGTCGTCCCAAGCTGTGCCTGCCTATCATCTCCTCCCGCCAGGCTATCTGAGAATTACCCTTGACTAACCATATTCTCCAGATTCGATGCTAACAGTTCCAATTCACTTAAGGCTATATTTGTTAACAAAGGGGAGAGTTCATAGAATAACAAACTGTGTTCAATTTGACCCCGGTCATGGCTGAGTGTCAGCGCCCAACCTACACGATGGCCGGGGATATCAACGGTGACGACACAGTCAGGAGCCTGACCTATAACTGCCATCCACCAAATTCGTATTTATAGACATAATACTCCAATATAGTAATAATTGTATTTTTTTTTCAGTTAGATCTCTAAAGGAGCCTAGCTGGTACCCAAGTAGTGACTAGGTAGTACGCTGCACTGCCGATAGTGGCAGCTGGCGGGGGTAATCCTACTAACCTATTGATGCACCTACGGTACTCGATTCTTAGAACATTTAGCAGTATTAATTCCCTTTCTTAGTTGCTAATGTCATAATCATTCTCTTTATGGTCAATGAGCTACTAGAGATCACACCCGAGCCACATTGTAGTGCCTGTGCACTACAAGGGGCCCCTGCCCTACCGTGGAGGGTCCTGTCGATACTACCTACAGAACAAGGGACTCCATAGCAATCAAACGGTATAGAAATCACCTGATGCACCCAGTTGGTGCATCTGCTGCACCCTGTTGATGCATCTGCTGCATGTGATTGATGCACGATGGTCAACGACGATGGTGCGGGGTCCTCTGCGGTGGTGCCAGAAGAGTTGCCTCCGCTCGCCTTCCCTTCCATCGGTTGTCTTGAACTGCGACGCATTGTTGACGTCCCCTTCTCCCTGCCTCCCCTTTCCCCTGCCGAAAGCGCGGATCTGCAGGAGGAGCAGCACAAGCAGCAGACCCTAGACAAAGACAGCAAAGACAGAAGTGATGGCGGCGAGCTAGTGGAGGCATCCACTGCTGCTGAGGTGGCTGACGCCTCAAGATGCAACTCCGCGCCGCAGCCTTCTCAGGAGGGCAGCGTCTCCTTGCTCTCTGGGCTTCTGCGGCGTTTGCTGGGGCCGCAGCAGCAGCAACAGCAGCAACGGGACAACTCATTTTTTGTTGACCGCTTGGGCTTTGAGCTACCCATATGCGGGGTGCCAAACGCCCAACAAATCTGTTCATCCTGGGGAGCAGCAGGTAGGGTGCAGTCGGAGAGGGGTGACAAATGCGTGTCTGTCATATCTTGGGAGGGACGGCAGGTATTCTTCTGGCTGCTATGGCCAAACTCAAGCTCCCCGAGGGCTGCTGCAGCTGCTTCTGCAGCAGCGAAACCAGACGCAACAGCAGAGCCACCAGCAGGTGGAGCAGGAGAGGGTGCAGCTGGTTTGTATGTGTACACTGCAGAAGAGGCCGTCCTGTCTTGCAGTTTGGTGGAGAGGTTTTCAATACTGGCCTTGACCTACGACACCAAACCGCCCCGCACAGAGCTCCTGCTGCTCCCTCAGATGCACGCTCCCATGCCTCCTAGCGGCAGCAAGAGCAATAGGAAGGTTGAGCTGACGCCGCAGCCTTTAGTACCCCTGCGGCGGCTGTTGCTGCCTCGAGATGACGTCGTGCTGCAGTGGGTAGGAGACTGTCCCTGGGGCGTTCTCTTTTTGTGCTTTTGCTTACAAACGAAATTTGGAGCCCTCATGTTGCTGCACTCGGAAGCAATCGCGACCCAACAGAAGTTGGCTCTACAGCAGCAGCAGCAGCAGGAAGAAGGCGTAGGCGGGCAGCTTGTACCAGCAGCAGCCTCCGGCGACTGGCAATCTGTTGCTTCCGTGAAGCTTTTGGCGCGTGACTTTTCTTCTGCGTGGCTGCCGACGACTCCTTTCCCTCCCTGTGCGGTATCTGTACACCCGAGTTTACCCGTAGCGGTCGTTGTGGGGTTCTGCGCACAGGAGCGCTGCGCCTGGACTTGCTGGGTGCCACTGCATGCAATGAAAGTGGAAAGGGAAGCAGAAGGAGAAAGCGACAACTCTGAAGAGGAGGAGGAGGAGCTAGCAGCAATTGATGCAACATGTGCTGCAGAAAGTCAGTCAAAACGGCTTCGAAATGCAGGCAAGCTCGCTGCAGACGCACCACCCCCTGTTGTTGTTGTCCTGCCATCCCTCGATCTGTTGCGATCTCTAGCAGCGAGACACGCCCTGGAAGCAATGGATGCTCATTTCCAGCAACCGCAGCAGCAGGAAGAGGGGGAGCAGCAGCATGGAGCTGCTCGTGTGCCGATGTGGCGGTCGGCGGATTCCCCTGAATCATTTTATGGACCTGTCTTCTTTAAGCCTCGTGAATTGGCAGAGGAAACAGACAGATGGCTGCGGGAAAAGAACACATTCACACGGGGACGCGTACAGTCAAATACTGCTGCTGCAGCTTCTCAGCAGCACCACCACACGGAGGCCGCCGAAGCTGCAGCAAAGAGACGCCAACTGCTGTTGGCTCATCTGCGTGACCGTCTCCATGCATTCCCAGAAGACAGCCAGCAACAGGAGCAGAAGCAACCACAGTTGCAGCACGTAACGATTAGCAGCTGTGGCGGTCTGCTCGCGCTGTCTCTTTCCTCAGATGAGCTCCTGCTGCTGAGGCTCACCCGTGATGAACAGGCATGCGACGGCAGCAACGATGGGGCGGCCTATTATGAGCCTCTGGCCTTCCTCCCTGCCCCCTTTATGTGGCACGTTCGATCTCGAGCAGTCGTTACACCCGAGCTGCAAGTGACGCATCACTCCTCTGCAGCTACGGTACCTCTGCGGCAACGTGCAGATGAACAAAGTGCGCAGCTCCGCAACCGCACTCACTCGCAGCAGGAGCAGCAGCAGGAGCAGCAGCAGATGTTTGGTGCGGAGTTGGAATCGCTGGAGGAGGCAGTGGCACTACTGCAAGTTGACCGGTCTTCTCCCCCAATGACCCTCAGTGCCTCTTTCTTTGCTGGAGAGGCCAGCGAGCTGCTAGTGCTGTTCTTCAGTGACCAGGCCCCGCTTGAAACCCAACAGCAGCAGCAGCAGCTACTGCAGCAGCAAGAGAATGCAACGGCCGCAGCTTCATTTGACAAGGAGAGTCCAGGGAATTGGCTGTGCGTGGCATTTGACCTGGACAGGAACAGCCTTTTGCTGTCGCCGGAGGAGGAGCAACAGCAACAGCACCACCATCAGCAGCGCTCAGAACGTTCCCTCAGCACAGGCAGAAGCAGTGGCCCATGCTGGGCAGTGGTAGACGGTTGTCGTGGCCCTCCGACGTTCCCTCTTGCTGTCCTCCATCCTTTAGGGGATGTCCAGCATATGGGAGACGGAGGCAGTGGGGAACTGCAGCAGCAAGATGACACTTTGCTGCTCCTCAGCGTTGAGCGCGCTGGGTCTCACAGCAGCAGCAGCACCGGAAAGCACCACAAGCAGCATCAGCGGGGGGGGTTCCGGTTGTCTCTATCATCTTTACAGTGTGGAGACGTTGTTTCCTTTGCTGCTGCAGCTGCTTCTCAGGGGCGTTGGGGGGAGGGGGAGGCGCTGCTGCAGCGGTCGCTGAGTCTGGCCCACAGCGCCCACGAAGCAGCAGCAGCGGCAGCAGTAGGAGGGGACGAAGTCAGGGGAGTTGTGTTGACCAGGTCACAGGAAGAGGTGCAGCGCCTGGAGGAGGCTCTGCGGCAGCTGCAGCAGCAAAGGTGGCAGCAGGTTGGCAGTGAGCCCACCGCCTCGGAGGACGATTTCCAGGTAATTGAAAACTCCATGTTGCGTAGGATAATTTGCGGCGCTGCTGCTGTTGCTTTCGGTGGTGCCGCTCGACTGCGCTGTTCCTTGTTGGCATGATCTCGTTTGCTGCCATTGCGTTTCGTGTGTTTCTTTTTGTTTGCTGCCTTGGGCCTCGTTTATGCTTCCCTTGTATCCCTTTAGCCACCACCTCTCTGCTGTAACAGACAATATACTGCATTCCTTCGTATGCAGTATATATATTATATTTAACAACATCTGCTACCTCCGCGGCTGCTGCTCCTGTCTTCTGTCTGTTCCGTCGGCAGCAACCTGCACCGGCCTCTTGCTGAGGCTCAGCCTCAGCCATCCACTGGATGTGAGGTTCCAGCGCTGTTTGCTGCTGCTGCTCCTGCTGCTGGCATAGCAACAGGAGGAGCAGCAGCAGTAGCAGCAACACAGGATGTCGATTTACTGCCTATCACTGTTGTTCCTCCCTACAGCGCGGTGTGTCTTTGCGGACCCCTGCCTCCCTCGCATTGCCTCTCTGATATGTTGCAGGCCGCCTTCCGCTTCGTTGAAAGGGCAGCAGGAGAGGAGGGCAGCAGCACCTATCAGTGGCTTATGCAGCAGGCTCTGATGTATGAGCCCTTCGCAGCAACAACAGCAGCAGCGCGTTACTCAACTCCAGCCTCAGACACGTCAGCAGCTATAGCAGGTGCCTGGACACCCCATCCCCTCCCTCTGCGTCGCCTCCGCTTGCTGCTACAACGTGCGCTGCAGCTGCAGCAGCAGCAACAGAAGCAGCAACAGACGGAGAGCGACGCAACTTGTGCCGAAGTGAGCCAGCCACGCATCCCTGTGTAATCGTAGCTTCCATCAGTATCAGTTGCTGCATTGGCACCAGCTGCTGCCGCTGCTGTTGCTGGTGCTCCATCGAGAGGTCCGTTTTTCTGCACTCATTAGTGGAGCATTATTTGCTGTTGCTGCTGCTACTTCTACTGCTGCAGGGTGTTCTATCTGAGAGGTTGAAGCGATGCGACTTATTGCTGGCCCTCTCAGACACAGCAGCTCGCCTCAGCGGTGTCGAGCGTTTGGATCCAGAAACAGCAGTAGCAACAATAACAACATCGACGGCTGTCCGAGCAGAGACGGAATTTACCCGTTCTTCCCTGAAGCAGAGGCAGAAGGAGAGACACAGGCAGAAGCAGCAGCAGGACCCCACAGTCGACGCTGATGCTGCTGAGGTTTCGAAGGAGGTTGGTGGGATGTTGTTGCAGCAGCTACGGAGGGCTCTGGCTGCCCTGCTGAAGAGCCCTTGTGATGCAGAGACTGACGGCGAACAGCTCCCATTCGTGCTGCAGTTGGCTCAAGTTTTTGCTGCCCACTCGCAGACACTAGCTGTGGAGTTGTTGCTGCAGCAGCACCCACACCAGCTGCAGCCCCAGTGGAGATCCATCCTCAGCGCATTTCCTGAGGCAATCCCGCCACAAAGATTCCTTCACCTGCTGCCCCGCCAAATCCCTACCTTTGATAGCAACGGCTACGGCAGCGCTAGAAACAGCAGCAGCAGCAGCGTGCTGGAAGCGACGGCTGAAGATATTGCTGAGTGGACAGTAGAGCGCTGTCTGGCAGTAATGAAGGGCCCAGGGCTTCTGCAGCACTGCGCACTGCCGCTTGCCACTGCTGTGCTGCTGATGCTTCTGCGGCAAGCGCCTCCTGCAGACCTTGCTGCTGCCGCCGCCGCTGCCCTGCAGCAGCAGCAGCAGGCAAGGGAGGCGCTCACGATGTCACGGCTCGATCAGAAGCAGCTGCAGCAGATCCAACAGCAGCACGAGCTTCTGTTACGACAGCAGAAGCAACAGCAACAGAGAGCTGCCGCTGCTGCTGCTGAAGCGAGTTTGTCAGCTGCTGTCCTGGCGGCAGGCCACACGCCACTGACCTCCACCCAAGCAGCATCAGCACAACAGGCCAACAGCCACTCTCCACCAGCAGCAGCGGAAGATGCTGCTGCTTCTGCTACCTCAACTATGCCTGACGCGGCAGAACAAGTTGAGGTAATGGGCGCACCGTGGGGCATAGACAAGAATTTGCTGCTGCAGCAGCAACACGCCCACAGCGAACTTCAGAATGGATACCCTGGTATTCGCCGATTGTGTGCGTTGCATGGGTTGCTGCGGCAGTTCTTGCTGCTGCAAATGCTGCAGCTGCGGTGCCGGGAGCTGCAGCAGCAGCAGGAGCATCCTGTTGCTGCCAGCCCCCCAACGGTCTTCAGAAGGCCACCTCCTGCTGGGAAAAGGCTGCAGCAGGAGCTGCAGCAGAAGCGTGTGTTGCTTGAAAATGCCACTGAAGACTTCTTCAGCTTTGTCAGGCTCACCGACAGTTCGCGGCTGCTGTTGCTGCTGCTGCACCTTGTTGCTGCGCAACAGCAGCAGGAACTAGGCTCAGGAACGTGTGCTACGGAGACTGAGGGAAACAACAGCAGAACACAAGCTTTCGCAGCTGCGGCAGTGGCGACCCTTGTTGAACCCTTTGCAACCCTCGAGTGCTTTGCCTCACCGGAAGGTCAAACACCAGATGCTGCTGTTGCTGCAGGAGCTTCCGATGCATTTCCTGCTGCTGCACCTGTACCCATAACGGCAGCACAGCCCCACGAAGACCTCACACCGTTGTTACGTGCAGTGGACAGTTGCTTTCGTCGAGGCTTGCTGCTCGAGTTGTCTTTGTGCCTGTCAGCAGAAGCAGCAGACCCCCTAACTGCCGCAGCAGCCCTGCGTGCGTCTCGCTGTTCTGCTGCTGCTGCTGTAGGGGCGGCCGCAGGAGCAGCAGAAGGCGAAACAGGACCAGCAAGAAGCACCGAGGAGGGGCTGGCAGCTGCAGCCACTGGATTGACAGAGGCGACAGCTCTGCGGCTTCTGCGGTGGGTGCTGCTGCTGCTGGCAGCAAAGTGCAGCAGCCCTCAGCTGCCGCCTGAATGCCGCCTCATACCTGACGCATCACTGCTACTGCGGCTGGCTCTTGTTGCAGCTTACAGAAAGGACAGCTGTCTTCCGGGTGCAAGGGTGGCTGTTTATGTGAAGGCTGTCTTGCGCGAGGCACTGCAGCAACTGAAGCAGCAGCAGCAACAGCAGTTGGGTACTGCCTGGGCACCTGCTTTCCCAGCAGCAGCGGCGTCAGCGGCTGCTGAGGCTGTGGCTGCCGCTGCAGGTGTTCCTTCGCCCCCGGAGAAGGAGCTGCAGAGTGATGTGTCGCTGCTCCTGCACCAGACAGAAGCCGTGGTTGCAGCGCAGGAGTTGCTGCCTGGGAGAGGGAAGGGTCCTGTCCTTCGGGCCACATTCCTTGACTTAAGAGCTGCTGCTCTTAGTGAGAAAGCAGCAAAGCAGCTGCTGCTGCCCCTGCTGGAGGAAGCCATTTGGCAACAACAGGCTGCCTGCTCCACAGGGAGCAGCAGGTCAGGGGAGAAGGCTGGTGCTGAGTGGATGAATATGTTTAATCGCACGGTGTATATACACCGCAAGTTGTCTGTCGCGATGCCTCCGACGGATTTTTACATGCATTTGGCGTCACTGTTGGCTTCGTTGCCTCCTCTGCAGACGGCAGATGTGCAGCAGCAGCAGCAGCACCCGCTGTTGCTACTGCTCCCTTTGTGGGAGCAGGCGGCGCTGCTCGCTGGGGACAATACGAGGAAGGACTTCGCTGAAAGCTGCTGCTGCTTGCTGCTACAAAGGGCTCAGAGCCTTCTGGACAAACCACCGCAGCAGGTGGGGCCCCACACCGCTCTTGCTGCTACTCTGCTGCAGCGAGCAGCAGCTGTTGCCGAAGACGCTCTGCATGCCCTGCAGCAACATCTGCAGCAGCTCCCCCCGCAGACGCAGCAGCAACAGCAACAGCGGCAGCTGCAGCGAATAAAAACAGACATAGAGCAAGAGATGACGCTCCACTCTGTCGTAGTATTGCTATACGACCTTCTACAGCAGCAGCAGCAACAGCAATGGGCGCTGCCGTCAGCATTGGGAGCAGCGTCTGCAGCAGCGGCCACTGCAGCTGCAGCTGCAGCTGCTGCCGCAGAGGCGGCAATCAGCCGCGCTAGAGGCGCAGCCTTGAATGCATTGCTGTCCAGTGGAGACACAGACAGCGAAGGCCGAGGCAGTTCAGACTCAGAAGGCCCCTCGAACCAGCAGGCGGCGGCGGCAACAGCAACAACAGCAGGTGGAACAGCAACAGATGCAGCTCTGAAAGTAGCCGCAGCGAGGGCAACTGCTGCTGAAGCAGCGTGCGTTTTGCTGCAGCTTGCCCAGCCTCCCGTGCTTCGCCAGCAGCTGCGCACAGCGTTTGGGCGGAGGCAGCTGCTCTCGGTCCTGCTGCAGAAGCAGCCGCAGCTAGCGCTGCAACAGCAGCAGATGATGAAACATCTAGGAAAGCTTTTGTCTATTGAAGCCGATGAGCAGCAGCAGCTTATAGACATTGCAAGAGGCTTTGCCTACAGGGCCCTGGGGGAGAGAGGCGCAGCGACTACGATTGCTGCAACCCTCCTTGCTGCAGAACTGCACAAAACCATTGCAGAAACTGCAGCGGGAGTGGGACCTGCAAAGGAAGACGGGAAGAGGAGGGAATCATTAGACGAAGCGGACCAGACGACTCACAAGCGCCAGAGGACAGCTGCTTCCACGCAGGGAGAACAGGTGGCACCTGCAGCCGCAAAAACAGTGCAGCAATATGCAGCTGCCGCAGCCGCAGCAGCATGTAGGTTGGCGCGCAGCACAGAACGCCCTTTATTAGCTTCTTTAGGGGAGGCAGCTGCTGCTGACCTACTGCATCAGCAAGCACCTCGCCTGGCCAGCCGAGTCGTTGCTGCTGCTGTCTGCAATGCAGCAGACGAACAGCTCCCCGGCCTTCTTCGCTGTGCTGCTGCTGCTCGTTCAGCCGCTGCCGCTTCTCCAGCCGGAGGAGTATCACAGCCGCAGGGACGGCCTGCAGGATGGGAACCAGCTACTGCAGCAGACTTGGTGCCTCCCCCGGATGCATCAACACCGGGCGAGGCAGATAACCAGTCCCTTGCTTTGAAACCTTCTCAAGCGTCGGCTGTTTGGCTGCTAAATTCGCAAAACTTCCGGCCGCAGGGAAGCAACAGCAACGGCAGTGGCACGGTGCAGTACCAGATGGCCCGCTCTGTTCTTAAACTTTTGGGCTCTGAGAAGCCAACAGCAGCAGCAGCAGTAGCAGCAGCAGGCAACATTTGGGGGCCCCCATCATTTCTGTTCGTTTCTGCCTTTGAGGCTGCTGGAGGTGCTGTGGCCTCTGCTGCTGCCAGTGCAAAGCAGTTCTATGCTGCTGCTCTCGCGGCAGACGCTGCAGCAGACGCTCACATACAGCAACAGCAAGAGCAGCAAAGGCATCAGCAGCATCCGGCCAATACGGGCGGAGCAGCAGCAGAAGCAGCAAGCGCGAGGGCAGTGGCTAGCGCACTGCATGAGTGGGGAGTGCTCAAGGAGGTGGGGGAGAGCAGCAGCCGGTCTGCCCTGATAGCAGCAGCATTTTCCCCCTTATTAGGGGCACCCAAAGATTTGCTGCTGCAGCCCAGTAGCTGGGAGCTGGCAGGGGTTCCGGCTGGTGTGGTGGACTGGCAGGCGCTGCTGCGGCGAGATGTGGCTGTTGCTGTGCTGTTGCTATCCTCTGCTGGAGTCCCAGCACCTGGAGCAACAGCAGCACCCTTTAGAGCACCTGCCACGCCGCCTGCTGCAGCTAATGCTGCTAGCTCCGAAGAATGCATCAGCGAAGAACTGCTGCTGACTTCTTCTCTCCCTGCCTCGTGTGCCGCTTTGCTGCAGACGCCGGGGCTAACAGCAACAGAACTTCTCCTTGTTGTGCATCACCTCCTACTGCTGGAGTTGATGCCGCTCCTGTTGCTTTTATGCCCTCAAAATCCCTCGTTGGAGCGGCTGGCTACAGCGCTGCTGCTGCTGCTGCGCTTCCTGAAAAGGGTTCCGCACCCGCGCCATCTCAGAATCAGCAACAGTGGCGGTCAGGACAGCAGCAAGCGGGAACTTCCCGTACTCTTGGGAGCCCGTTTAGTGGGGGATTCTGCCTACAGGCGCGATACGCTGCTGCAGATAGGGGCGGCGGATTCCTCGCTGATTGACGCAGCAGCTGCAGCTATGGCTGCTGCTGAGCCCCTCAGCGCACCGCTTAAGTCTCTGCAGCCTCTCGTCCCCAAGAAGGGGCTCTCATTCTGTAGCAGCAGCAGCACCACAGTATCACCTCTCTCCGGCACCGTGGGGGCTCACACTGGCCCGCCGCAGCAGCTGCAGCAGCACAGGCAACAGCAGCAAGTACAGCAACAACAGCATCCCGCAATGGAGACGGACGAAGATGCATCTTCGGCTACTCCTTGCCACTTAACCCCTGACAACAGCGTAGTGAAGAGCTGCGCGTTAGTCAAAGACCCCTCTTGCCTCGCTTCAGCTGAATCCACAGCTGAAACACCTAATCAAGACCCTCAGCAGCATCAGCGGCAAGAGCTACACAGGCAGATGCAAGAGCCACCGAAGGCAGTGGGGTTTCAACCCAACGCAGAGGTTTCATTTGACGGGACGGAGAGTAACGATGCCACAGTCATAGAGAGCTTGGGAGGGGAAGGCCTGAGTCTGCGGTTGGAGCATGCAAAGAAGACTTTGCTGCTGAATGCAACTCCTCTGAATATTGCAATGGCCAGCGAAGCTTCCCCTTCCGTCTCGGTGCTGCTGCGCTGCGCCCCCGCTGCATTGGGGCTCCTCGTTCTGGACTGTATGGCTGCCTTGCTTCAAGCAAACAAGCCCCAAACGTTGTCCCTTCTGCACCCCTCTGTGCTGCGGCAGCTCTGTCACCGCGAGGCCCGTCGTGAGCAACATTCTCCTGCGGCTGAAACAGCTGATTCAGCGGCAACAGAAACAACAGGAGGAGGATCAGCAGCCGCAGCAGTGGCAGCAGCAGCAGCATCGGTGCAATACAGTTTCTTTGACTCGGTGGGCGACTGCGTCCTCCACCCTCAGGAGTTTCAGCGTCGCATTCTCTTCATGCGCCGGCTTTTCGCGTGTTGCGTCTCCGCTCTCCGTTGTGAGCCAGCACTTTTCCTGCTGCCTACCGTCCGCCGTGCAGCAGCAGAAGCAACCGCAGTAGAAGCAGATCGGACACCAGCAACTACTGAGTCGTCCCTGCTGCGGGTGGCCCGTGTGGCAGTGGAGAGCGCCGGCCTAGGTGCTTTGGCAGACGAAGAAACTCTGGGCGCTTTGCAGCTCAGCATGTCCTCATTAGACGCTGCCGCTCTGCTGCTACCGCCTCCCTGTCTGCTCCAAGACGGCAGCGCACTGTCGGGGCCAGCAGACGCAATACAAAGCGCAACCCCTGCTCACGTGGACGATCCATTTGCCGTTAGTTTTGCTGCTGCTGCTGACAGCAGCAACATCTGCGTGGCCCTGTGTCTGCGGCAGCAAATGAAGTGCCTGGCTCGGCGGAGTTCAGCCGCTGCCCTTTGCTTCTCTGCACTCGAGAAGCACCTTCAGCAACTCAAGAAGAACTTCTCCGGTCTCTCCTTCCCCGCCTTCGACGTGCTTGAGAACTACGAGTTGCGGCAGACAGCAGCAGATCAGTGTTCTAAGCGGACAGCAGGCGACGCTGCAGTCTCGCAGCGAACGCCTGATGCCGCCTGCTCAGTCGATACTAGCGGAGCTGCCAGTGACATCGTCTCATTGCTACTTAAACAGCTGCCCCTCGAGGACTGGGGACGCCTGCTCATGCACGTCAAGCCTTTAGGGCCTTCCCTCCAGCTTCTCATTGCGCTTCCCATGCATCACCAGCTGCAGCAGCACCATCAGGGGGGACCGCTTCGCGACGAAAATCAGCGAATGCATTCAGATGCAGACGATCTCAGCGGACATGCTGACAGAGCTGAACTTACAAACAAACTGCGCCAGCTGCTTGACAGGCTTGTCACCATTCTGCCCTTTGCGGCTTCCTGGGAACAGCGTGTTGGTTCCTCTCCTTCATTCTTTACTGAGGAGCGCACTGTGCCAGAAGCAGCGGCGGAACTGCTTACAACAGCAACTGACGAGGTATACAAAGCCTTCAGCGGGACCTTCTGGCGACTCGCCTGCAGACACGCTCTCGCGCACCCACGGCACAGCACAGAGGCAGAAGCGGCCTGCCCCAGGGTTGCTGTTCTCTCAGATTTGGCTGCCCTCATATCTACAGGCTTCTCGGCTTGGCTCCGCTCCCGTTGGCAGTTAATGCACCATCAGGAACAGCAGCAACACCTACAGCAGGAGGAGCATGAGCAATTCCAGCAGTCAGGGCTGCACGAATTGCACGACGTGCGTTCTGTGGCGGATGCAACCCCAGAACTGGTGGAAACAGCCCTTGACAAACTCTTGCAACGTACAGCCTACGTGCCGCTGAAGAGCACTTGCGAATCCCTCGCCTTTGCGTTGTTCGTGCTGCAACAAATAACCCGGGATTCCGCTCCCTACAAAACAACAGCTTGCGACAGCAGTGTCTGGGAATCGGCAGAACTTCTGACGCACATTCGACTTTTCCAAGTGCTTGTGGGACACACGCGATCGCTGCGCAATACTCTGGAAGTCCTCGATGCTGAGCAGCAAGCCAGCATGGATTCCCTAGCAGCGAATTGCTTCAAGACTACATCAGAGCTTCTGCAAATCCAAGAGCGATGCCTCGACAGACTGGCCGTGTACGCTCTCTTTCCTGATAAGAAGGACAGGAAGGTGTGCAGCACTCTCCTAAACGTGCGTACGGCGGATTCCGGAGATTGCAAAGAGCCGGACGTTGGTAACTTCGTCCTGCGAGTCATCGAAACATTGAATGTACAAGGCAATGCATTTACCACTTCCCGAGCGTCTGTACGGTCGCGCTGTGCTGCTCTTCTTCTGTGGAGAGGCGAGCGGAGCTGTGGGAATCAATCTTTCGGAGCTAATGCCAGTGCCATGCGCTGGAGTCCCCTCTGGAGTGACTCAGTTTTGCAGTTGCCTCAAGAAATTCGACAGGATTCTGCTCCTCCCGAGACTGGGGTGCAGCGCACCACCGAAAGCAAAGCGTGGAATGCATTGCTTGATACAGCGGAAAGCATTGAGGACGTCATGATCCTTCGGCTACTGTCTGGAAAGCATGTTGCTGACAATGTAGGTGCAAGCAAGTTGTTCACTGTGCAGCTTAAGCCGTTGATACTAATTGTCTTGAAATGGCTGTGCGATGCCTGCAGGCTCATCTATACTGGGAAGGGCAACAATCGCCACTATTAATGTTGATGACGTGGGATGCACAGTTGCATGTGTCGGCAGTTAAGCGGCTCCTGGAAAAGTCTCAAATCAGCGGCGCATCCAATAGGCGCAGTCATTCTGGATGTGTCTCTCTCCCGGGCTTGCATTCACAGTTGGACGTCACCAATTCCAGTGTCGATATGCTTCAGTTGGCCCATGCATTCGCAGCTGCTTGCCTTCTACTACTGACTGGACAAGCTTGCGCCTTAACCAACACTACATTTTTCCCCTTTGTTATGGAGCTTCTAGAGGAAGATCTCTGGTGGGATGACACTTCCAGAGATACCCACACAGCCACCGCGACAACTCAAGACCACAATGCTTCTAAAGCGGCAGGATATTGGATACAGTCCATTCAGCGCTTTCTGCTCAAATGGTGGATTAGAGGTTCGGGGGAACTGGAGGCTTCGCAGAAACAGAAACGAGGTATCAGAGACATATGCGCAGAAAACGAAGTTTCCATGTTTCAGGTTGTCGAATACCTCTCAACGTTCGTAAGGTCCTTGAGGAGTGTTCTACAGCGAAGCCTTGTACTGCAGCTATGCTTAAGGGGCAACTTGAACACCGCAGTCTGCGCAATCAGGAAGTTCGGAAACACTGTAAGTTACTGGGCACGCTAACCACAGCATAAAGGGAAGCTTTGCAGTATCTCGAGCACAATGTTGTCAAATGGAAACGTTTTTCTCGTCTGCGAACAGATACTACCGCCTAGAGGTGTACACAAACTCGTTGAAATTTCGCAATACTTATCCCTCGTCTACCCTTCACCGATTTGCTTCCCTCAAGAATCCAAGAACGACCGATACCACGGATGCCCGAATGGTAATTTCTTCCACGACATATCCGTCGGGAGTATGGAATTATCAGTCGCTTTCGGGCAGTCAAGTTGCAAGAAGTGCAGACCTAGCTGTGACATGTACCTTGAATTTGTGCCTGGTCAATATCGGGCGTCAGTGCAACGATATCTTGCACAACGCTTCAACTCTACTCGTATGCCAAAAGCATATGTCAAGGATCTAGAATGTTTCTTGCTCAGGTAAGGCGTTTTCCGTTCCTTAGATATCAGTCGAAACTGCGGGTTCTTATTTTGGTAGCAGTAGCACTCTGCAAATTGCTCAGAATGGACACTCCTCCCCACATTTGAAGGCGCTGCATGTTTGACTTGGGAGCAAAGTTTGTGAACCATGGGCTGCCACCATCAGTGGCTATTATGATTGTTAAGGTGGCGTGTTTTCTTGTTCTTCTGTTTGCAGGGCATCGACGGCAATTCGGCAGCAACTCTCCATGGCACTTTAGTGCGGTTTGGACCAATTTGGGCATTCTAGGAATGAATCGGACTACCTAGTTACAGTAGTGTCACTGGTTGGCACTTTACTAATGTTGTAGACCTACGTTACTGAAACAGCTACTTAACTTTCCAAATGCCATATGCTCTCGGTGTGCACATGTGAAAGACTAAGCCTTGATGGCCACTTGATTCAACAGTAGGTTGACCATTACTCGTTTGACGAGGCAGGTGTAGTATGTTTAGTACACCCGTGTTTCCATGAGAGCATGGAATCTCTGGGGAAGGGACACGGGGGTAAGAATGTCGACGATGCGCTTCACGAAAGATCTTGTCTTGTCGTATGAGGGCAGCTTTGCCACGCATTCCTCGAGTGTCGGAACGAATTCAGGCACCCGCACTATTGGGGGCTCCGGCAGGCGCTCAGCAACGCCCTCGACAGCCTGTGAACAATTTTTGAGACCGTTTTTGGTGGAGAGTTTACCATGCAAGTAGTTCCTTACAATGGAGATCGGATCGCAGATGCACGCCAGGATGGCAATATCGTAGAAGCGTTTCGACGAGGCAACGTAGTAGCTGACCATTAAAGCAGCGAAAGACAGAGCACTAACAACCCTGAGACACGAATTTTGAATGTTTCCCTTGAAATTTCCAGTAAGTGAACAGAGTTAGCTGACAGTGTTAGATTGGTGATAGTTCCACCGTAAAGCAGAGCGGCGGTGTTGCGGCATGTGGGGGAAGACGTCAAATCAACATATCCTGAAATGTGCTTTTATGAAATAGTGCACTGATTACTCTGGAGTATTGTTTCCGCATACCGCGCATGATCCATAACAGAGCCACCAACGGGCTAAAGGGAATGAAGGTATGTGAATGTATTCTTCAAGTGGAAGCAGGCGACTAGCGTACCATCCTGCAATCAAGGCAGCAACGTGGAGAGGAGCAGATCCATACTCGAAGAAACTTGATTCACAATTCGTCCAGATTAGCTTGGCCATCACTGAACGGAAACTGTTAAAAGGTTTGTTCCGTCCGAATAGAATGAGTATGTCTTACACCGGACGGCTTGCGTGTCAACGAACAAGGCAACGGAGCACGCAGTAGCCAAGGTAAGCATGATTACTGTGGAATGCGATCAACTAGGACCTTGGTGATAACAGTGGATTGTCGCTCGACCTACCTCCCAAAAGGCCGTTCCAAAATGCCAGTCCGCGATCGCAGTATACCGGTTGTTGGCTTATACCCTAATTACGTTGAATCTGTAATGAAAAACAGGTGCTTCTTGCCGGAGAGCAGATTTAAAACTTACCAGTGTCAGGGCAGAAATGCCCATGATTGCTGACGAGCACAAGACAAAAAGTAATGACTTTTCAAGGCCATTCCGAAGCGCGACCTCTGAACGGTCGGCGGTCGGCTCCCATCTCCCAATCTCGGCAAAAGAGCCGCTCAGCGACCTCAGAATATTCTGGAACATCTTCGATGGGAATTGTCGAAGCTGGCAATTGTCGGGGGTTCAGAGCCTCACTGCACGTGTGGCAGCTGGGAAGGATCCAAAAATGTACACACCGCGACACTAGCGGCGTCATGTATCAAAATTAATCTCTGACGACTCTACGCACGCGCGGACACGTCTACGGTCTGAGGTGTACGTACTGCTCAAGAGCCGGTTACACAGATGACTACCTCCAATCACTACTTCTTCTTTTCGACGGTTCTGTAGCCACTATTTATGAAGCCTAGTAAACAAATTTAAAATGACATTGCTGCGTAGCACACTTAGATTTTGAATGATGAATCGGAACTAAGGAAACGGAACGCAAAGCACTGCGCCACCAAAGCGTCAGCGGCTAGTGCTTCTGTCCTTTAAGTAATCCACATCAACTAACCACCATGTGGAATCGACCTCCATGTGAGGTCATCTTGCCCCAGAGCATGTGGGACTACTATGTCAGGTGGCTTGACACTATGTCCGCCGATGCAAGACAAGCAGCCTCCATGACGCAAAAAAATGCCGAAGGCAACTTGGAATGTGACAGCTAACAGCCACAGGATTACTCCATAGCGACAGAGTTAGTACATATAAGCGGCCTGTCACATGCGGATTCTGCGCTTTCAGCAATGCCCAAAATGTGTTTCCCGCTCAACCCCACGGAGCACTTAGTCTCCTAATTTTTCGACCACAGTAAATTCCCTGGTAGAACAGACTTCTTTTGCGAGGCCACATGGCCCAACAAAATGCATTCGTATGTGTCTGGTCCTTCAGCTCTGCGCAGCGTCGCGCTCCTGATTCCACTGGGCGATCATGGCACGTCTTTCTTCACTGGTCCTCCTCTCTGGCCGTTCATGCCTATGAGGGCTTGATGACCTGCACAACGAACGCAGAGGCGTGATACATGGAATCAGCAGCCCATAACTGTGTTCTGCGTGAAACAAAAAGTATTCATTTTCCTGAGCAAATCCAGAATGAAATTCTCACCGCCTGTGCTTATGCGGTGACGCAGATCTTGATCTTGATCTCCGTCCACGAACTTTCTCCCTATATTCTGGATGTTCTTCATACATCTTGTTGAAAAGCTTGCGCTTTAAGGAACGGGGAACGTGTTTAAGATGCATGAAGTTGCAATAGCCACCACGACGGCACTGACCGTCGACGAATTGGCGGCAACGGGCCTCTCTGAAGTCAGTGACTGGCGTGAACTCAGCCTGAATTGGTTTTCCTGCAAAATCAAAAGAGTCGATGTAAGCATCGAATATCTGTGTCGAAGTAATGAGAAACGCACCCAAGGCAGGCGCGGCTCTACATCACGATTCGTAAACTTCTCTGGAAACAAGACACCAGCATTCTCACCTGCATAATAGCGTCCTTGAAGAGCAGAAAGCGCTTTTTTTGCCGCGTCGTCGTCAGAATATTTTACATACACATTTCCGATTATATGATCTCCAATATTGTCGCAGACGACCATGTCTTCGACCTCTCCGTACTTGTACAACTCCTCGAAAACTTCCGAAAAAAAAGCTTCAAAGTGATCTGCAGCTTCATCTAGAAGCTCGTCAGAGACTGAAACGGCAGACAGGAAGACAAGATCCAACTGGACCCAGGAATGTGATGGACAAGTGCTGAACTGACATAACCTAATGGTTGCTAGTGGGGGGGCATCCGGACCGGATTGGCCCCAACGGAAGTCTATTCTGCGCGGTGATATCAATGCAATTCGACATTTTGCTAAAATCTGAGCCAGTTTCCTAGGTTTGAGTGCTCACCGTTCTGGCCCTCTGCAATGGCAATCGCCACAGGGGGATTTGGATACATGTGACGAAGGACGATTGTTGGGGAAGATGATGGTTTGTAGTGAGATCTTGAACACTGATCGCCGTGACGGCACGCCCCAATCTTCCAGTAGAATGGGCAATTGACTCTGTCCTCCTCTGTTCCAATAATTCGCGCCAGATGCTCCGCCATCGTGAATGGCTGACGCCGCACAAACTCTTCCTACAACAGGGTACAGCCCTACGCCAGTACACTCCCTTGCAGCTTCTGAAAGTACCTCGTGTATAGTCACGTTCTGGTCAAGTCAAGATAAATTGGCCTCGCGCTGAATTTGGTTTGAGATTCATATGGTGGGCTTCGGCAGGGGGCCTTGTCGGCTGTTTCTGTCTCGGTCCTTCTGATAAAACCCGGACAGCCTCCGCCACGCTGACTTTTGACTCTAATATATATACTTAAACAGAAGAGCCGCCACCCTGGTTAGTATGCGGTGGTAAAGGAATCAAGGTATGTATTCCGGTTCTTGGCAGCGTTACCCGGATCACGCGATTGAAAGAGAAGGACCACCGTCCGCTATGAGTTCAGAAAAGAGAATAGCTCAATTGTATTGTCAATATGAAGAGGGCAGCCAAACGGCTTCGAAGCAAATCTCCTTTGCAAGAGCGCGCACCTTGTAAAATCGGCGCCCATGTCTGGCGGCGGCCGTAGGCGCATGCGGCTCCCCACATAGACGGTATTTTCAAGATGTAGCTCGCCAGTTTGTAATGTATTTTCACTTAGTCATTCAATAACTGAACAGCGGGAAGTTTGCAGCATTAAACATCTCAACGAATCACACGCTTTCAACATTTTGTACATGCAACGCCGCGAGGGTCTCTGCTGCAGAGGAGTGTATTGCACTCCGACATAATTGGACGCCGCTTCTGTATATAGTATCTGTTTGCATTTCAGCTTTAATAAACTGAACCTGAATTGCAGTCTACCTGGCAATTTCGTCAAGTAGCTAACTACGATCTTTCCAAAACCGACCCGTGGTGCTACTGCTGGCAGGAGCAACCGCCGGGTTCCGGAGCTGCACGCTCCTCCAAATAACTGCAGAAGATTCAATGCTTTCCCCGGGATGACCAATATGAGCATCTGTGAGCTGCGAACCACGACTGTTCCCACTTTTTCTCGTTCGGGGTGAGCGAATCACTGAACGTGGTTCCAACCGGGGCTGCAGTGGAGTTGCAGCGCAAACCTTCAGTCACCCAAAGGCTGTGCCAGCTAGTGCGTGTTCTTCTAGTGCCAGCCACAACGTATTCCTGGTTGAAGAAGACCAGAAAATAGGAGTTAAGTCTTCCCGGCCTCCCAGTGATCCGTGTTTCGCTCGTTGAGGCATAGATTGCACCTTGCAGCTGCTTAACTGCTTGTGAATTAGCCGCATATTTCCATGATATTGATTGAATTGCGAGGGGTTAAATGCAGATAGTCCTCCTGCACCCAGTGTCAGAAGTGACATAGTGTTAGTGCAAGCAAACTGCCGGCTTAACCTGTTGTTGAAAACAGTGTAGTAGGAAAAGAAGGCCTCCACTAGTGAGATCTGCATAGGGAAATGGCCCGCATTCTTTTCCCTCGTTGCGTTAGGTATGCGGTTCTTTTGTCCCATTAGAATAGTAGTCTCGTGTTTGCAACCTGTTGGGTACAAGCTAACCCTCTTGACTATTTCATTACTCAAAGGTGGTTTTCTCATTGCCGCCTATGTTGGCTACTGCTCTGCGGAATATTCTGTTCTTGTGACGGGCCCAAACGTTTAGGGGTGTCTTAAATATAGGGGAGATGTCATTTTCGGTATTTTCTGGTGAGAAAGTCACTGGGTGCGTCGAACTGTAGGGCGTCGATGCCCCCAAGCAAAACGCACACACAAGCCACCCCCGCGGTGAGCAGCCTCCTTGCGAGGCCCGACCCGCAATCTTCCTTGTCCCCTACGACAACAACTAAAGGTAGGCGACTCATCGTAGCCGATATCCACGGCTTAAAACGAACAGGAGCCGTCACCTGGCCTGCCCCTGCTCTCCCGTGTGCTGCTTCTTGAGCTTCTGCAGCACTAAATCCTGAAGGAGCAGCAGAGTGCACCGCCTCTGCTGTTACTGCTTGGAAGGCCTCGAGAGAAGCAGCTCCAGAGGCAGCCCGGGTCATCTTGCTTATGAGAGGTCGACTGCTGGAGCCAAACTTTTGCATTTGGTGGTGTATGCCTTTAGTGTCAGGCAGTGTTCTTTGCCCCTCTCTAAGCAGGCCAATGAGCTCGCTAGCGTCCTTGGTAGTGACGTTGATTGCCTTGTTAAGGTGCAGATACTCAAAGGAAGCCCGAGGACGAATGTCCAGTACAACGCTTTCCTCGTAAAACCGCAACAGCTCGTCAACCCCAATACATGGAGGTTGCAGCGCGAGGCCCTCCCCTCCTTTCTCTGCTGTGTCAATACCTTGAGTGGCATCCCCAGCCGACCACGCAGGAGAAGTCGCCGCCAGAAATGACATTTCGCTCATCTTATCCCACCAACGGGGCGCCAGCGGTTCGCTGGAATATAGAGCTTCCATGGGGTCTGCGCATCTACAACGAGGCCACAGAGAGAAAGCAGACAAACGAAAACAAATAAACGGACAAAAATAGACGAAAAACAAACAAACAGCAGAGCGTCCAGTCCGAATTAAAACTGCAAATACCCTCTGAGCATCAAGCACCATTCGGTTTCACTTCATAAAGCAAAAGCAAAGCAGACAAATCTTTAGCTCCTTTGGCCCACTGTGCCTCTTCGAAAAGATTCATTTCCTCTGTATTCCCTTTGAAGGAAAACATATAACCCATCTTAGCCTCTCTTACACAACAAAAGCGATTCATCTATGTACAAGCAGTACCGGTACACAATTGGTAACCGTATCTACAAAATAACAAACAAAAACTGCAAGTTGTGCAGACGCCAGGAACGGTTGACTGAACAACCAGATAAATGAAATATTACATCGATTATAAGCTCCTTATAGTCACAACTCCGTTAACCCAATTTCATCGGTATTGGGCAAGACAAAATATAAGAACTTCTTCCGTTGGCTCTATAGAAAGCAACAAACTGAAAACTCGCACTCTGCATACACACATTCTACGTCAAACAACCGGTTTTGAGTACAGTATTTTCGTCAATTTCGTGTTTAGTGTGTAATTGAGGCATCTCACTTGCTTCCTGACTGCGTTGGGGAGGCCTTCGATGCAGATGGCTTTCGGGGAGGGCCAAGGAGAATAAGAGCAGGTCCAGTCACGACTCGCATCAATGCTTTCGTCCCCCAGCTAGGGCTTTTCCGCGCTGTTGCTGCTTCTGCTTCTCCTGCTTCCCCTGCTGGCGTATCGGCTGCTGTTTCTCCGTACCTGCTTGCTTTGCTGTTGTCACGGGTGGATGTGCTGCTGGAGTGACCTAAAGTAGCACCTGCACTTTCTACCCTATTTTGCTTGCCCGATACCCCAGGCCCCTCCTGCTGCTCCGGAGACTGCTCCGTGTCTCCAATGAAAAACAGCTGAGCCTCAGGCGGTCGCCGAGCCTGTGCCGCACTCGCAGAATCTTCATTGGCTGTTGGTGTCTGTAAGTGTATCGTGCCTGCCTGTACGGTTGCCGCCGCAGGAGTTGAAACAGGCGTTGTGCTTACGTCGGCTTCCACAGGTCGTTTCAAGGGGCCACCCCCCGGCGTCGAATGTCTTTCTTCCTGGGTGTTCTGTGTGTGCTTGGCGGTCTCTGGAATGGAGGTTCCAGCAGAAGAGGCTTCAGAGTCTGTCATCTCTTCAAGGGGAAAGCGCAAGAGGGTGATCGACCAGGGTACTGCGTTCTGCAGCGCCACTGCTGCTGCGCAGAGGGCGGGGATGTTCACAAAATCAAACGACGCCTGAAGCAATCGAAACGCTGTGGACTCCTCATCAGGAGAGAAACCCAGCAAAGGAACCCGCAGGAAGTGCAGCACGCAGACCGTCAGAAAATGCACGAAGGTCGGTGGCTGCAGCAGCAGCGTGTCCCACAGCAGCAGCAGCTGCTGCAGTGGCAAAACATGAGAGAAGAGAGTCAAATGCCATGACAGTGCATACATATCTGAGTGCAGACCTGCAGCAGACAAGCCCCAGACAGTACACAGCTACGACGGAGTCTGTCTCTCGCATTGTCCCTATATCTGCGTCTACTTTCGTTTCTTGCAGTACCGGCATCAGCCGGTCTGCCTCCAAGATCATCCCATTTATTTCTGTCCGTTTCTCTGCGTCTGCGACATTTCTTGCTTTGCTTCAGGGTGCATCTATTCGTCCCCACGGCTTCTCTGCCCGTAATTTTAGGCCGTTACCAGGGACTGCTTTCTCTGCTGTTCCGTGGTGCAGGGCAATGGCAAAACGTTTGTCACTGCCGCTCGCAGCAGGGAAGGCACCGACAGCAGCAGCGAAGGCAGCAGCAGAGAGAGCAACAGCGTCAGCAGCATGTTTTTGTACCTAGTCTGTTCATATGGAGGGCCAGCTGTGGGTCAAGAAAGGCGAGTAAGCGGTTGGAAGTGATGAGTTGCCGCTTGAGGAAAGCGGCGCTGTCCGCTGAGAACAGATGCTGTTGGAAGTTCTGCAGAAGCTTCTCCAGACATGCCAGGGCAACGTTCTCTTGCTCATAAAACAGCAACAGCAACGGGGCAGCCAATGCGTCCATACCCCGCACCGAAACATACAGCGGATTCCTCTGCAGAGTGACTCCAACTAAAGTCATCAGCCGCCGCCGGCCTTCGCTGCTACCCAGCAAGTCGTGGTACTGAGCAATAAATCACAATAGAAGTCATTACATACACTTCGGCCATAATCCAAAAACTCAATTTATACACAAGTAAATGAAAGATGGCAGCAATAGCAGTAACAGACCCCGAACCCTAAACCCTAAAACAGGCCAGGAGGAAAACTATACTGTCGACACTCTGTGGAGCATAGGCAAAAGCAACGCCAAGACAGAGATGAGCAGTCAAGGTTGAAGCGGAACGCTGTGGAAGCAGTTGTTTCTGGGCTTATGCATGCAATTCTGCTAGGGTGTTACTTTTATTCACAAATATCTAGCTCGCATGTCATCTTGAACTTGTTTACTCATTATTTTGCATATGCGTCTTTCGCTATTAGAGGTACCTCGTGGTACTGTGAGAATCCGCTAGTCTGCAAGGCTTCCAGAGCAGCAGGGCCCAAAGAACCGGCTGCCTCGTCGTAGATGAATCGCGTTGCGTGCAGGACACCTACATAATTAACCCCCAAAAGAGCTGCCCAAATCTGCGTCACAAACGGCAGCAGCAGCATTAGCAGCAGCACCATTGGTAGCAGCAGCACAATTTAACAGCATGAGCTCTAAGAGCAGCGACACCAGCTTTCCTGTGGTCAGCCACTACAGCAGCAAGGTGAAGCAGCAGGGAATTTGTGTAGAGAAGAGCTAAGAAGATTCTGTGAGGTGTACAGACTTCAGGGCGAAGGAGAGGCGGAATATCTCTTGCTGCTTCTTCCGTAAGCCGATGTCTGCTCTTGGGCAACTGAGCCAGCAGCGACTTGAACAGGCGCACTCTACGAAGAGGTAACAAAAGAGCAACACACGCAAACATGCAAACTGACAGAATATATACAACCCCGCCCCCAGAATCTACTCCACCAGTGACAAAGACAGAAGAAATACATATTCGTCTTCACAGGCCCAAATATAAAGCCCAACACACACACATGCCCTTCAAATCCGAAGGGTTCTTGAAGGTTGCTGCGGCCTTCTGGCAGTTGACCACCTTCATGGTAGGCAACAGCATAGCAGCAAAATCAGTAATCAGCAGCAGCGCATGCATACCTTAGGCGTTGGTAAAGAAAATGGCCCTGTCGTCTGTACACCAAAGGGGGCCGCACCTGCAGGACGCCAGAAAGAGAAAAGAGGCAGGAGGGAGAGAGGGGAGATGAGACAAGGAAGAGAGTGAACGGAGCAAATTTGCTGCACAAACTATAGAACAGGGAATGTAGCAAGCAACCAGCACCAACAGAAAGCAGCGAAAAACGAAGAGAGGCCGATACACTGGCAGACAGCCAGCAACAAAATAAAATTGAATTAAAAAAGCTTGCAACGCGACTCGGATGTTTTTTTCGCGAGGTTACAGGAGGACATCAAAGGAAAAGAGGAGGCAAAAGTATTTGTTCAATGCAGCAACACTTCAAGGTAGCACCGCTTCAATGCAGCAATACTGCAATGCAACAATAGTTCTGTAAAAACAGATCAATTCAGCAGCGGCAGGCAAGCAGAAGAGGCCCTACCTCCAGCATTTGACTGACAGGGAATCGGTCCGCCTCTTGCAGCGCGCGGACAGTTTCATCTAGAGATACACCTGCAGCAGACAAGGAAAAAAAACACTAAAAGGAAATCGAGCACCTGCAGACGCCAATCCCAAGACAGGCAAACTGCAGCAGATCAAACAAACAGTAACAGATCGAACAAGAAACAAAAGAACAAGCAAGTAATAAATAGTACTCAAGCCGCACACCCCCGCCTAGTACACCCAGGCAGTTGTACAGCGCATGCATCCCGGTTACCAGAACCGCAAAATGAGCCTGCACGGCGGCGGCTCCTTAACTAGGCACGGAGATGAGAAGAACACAAGAAAGGAGAGTCTAATTGCTCATGCAGCTGCTAGTCACCACCAGCACCAGTATAAGCAGCAGCAGCAATTCAATGCAACAAAAGCAGCAGCACTAGCAACAACAACAGGATGGTTGGTGCATGCGCTGACCAACGACGTTGAGATCCCCTTCCTTCCAGAGTTGAACCTCCCTCCAGCTCTTGCCCTGAGCAAAGCCGGTGACGAAGAAGGCGTCATCTCCATCCTTTGCTGCTGCTGCTGCTGCGGTTGCAGCTGTTCTTGGTTCTGTTTGTCTCGCTGCAGAGTCGCCCCGCATGGTGCCCTTTGTGTCGGGTGCAACACCAGCAGCAGAACCAACGGGGTATCCTTGTAAGCCGCTGCCGGAGGTGCCACTTTCCTCTGTGGCGCTGCTGGTTTCTGACTGGCAGGAAGACCGCTGCTGCTGCTGCTGCTGCAGCGTTTCACCAACGCTGCCTCCTAACGTGTCTGCTGCTGCATGCAAAACTCCGGAGCATGTACAACCACACATAGGTTGGTGGCTTGCATTGCCAGCCCTCCCTGTCTCATCCTTGTCACCAAACTGATCACTTCTTTCCTCTTTGTCGTCGAATCCCTCGTCTTCTCTTCCCCAGCAGCCAGCAAAAGCAGCCAAAAATTCAACTCGTACCAAGAATGGCCGCTTCTGCAGGCTCTGTGGAGCTGCTCCCTCTCCTGCCCCCCTGTATGCCTCTTGTTGGCCCTGGTTTGAGGCACGGAGGCAGCAAAGAGGAAGCAGAAAGAGGCAAGGAACTGGTCGAAATGCGCCTGCAGCAGCCAATGCCCCATGTACGTCTCCCCCCTGTAACTCCCACCAGTAGAAAATCTCCTCCAACCCGATGTTGTGGTGCAGCACCAGCAAATCCAAGGTGCTACGGGGAGGACTCAGCCGCGAATACGGCAGCCAAGGCAGGGCACCAGCAGAAGCAGCAGCACCATCTGAACAAGTAGCAGCACACACACACCCATCTGCCTGTTCACATTCTGTGCTGTCTGTACACCTCAACTATCTGCAAACTGGAAAAGTTTACAGGCGAACAAAGTGGAGTCTAAGGACACAGACAGAGTGGTAGAGGTGTACTGCAACAGAGAACAGTACGCAAACAAACAAGTACAAGGAAGGGTAAACAGAGGAGGCAGCAGATGCAACAACACTAGAAAGAAGAAACAGCACGAATAGCATGCCCTTAGAGGCATATTCTATCAATTGTTCCTCTCCTCCCGTCCTCCTTGTCTTTCTTACCGTCTTCTCTCTCTGGTTCGTTGAGGACTCGCTGCAGCTCCTCCTCCACCCTCAGCTGGGCGACCCAGCCAAGAGATTCTGCTCCCCTGGTACACCAGAGCTGCTGCTCCCTTTGAGTCCTCTGCAGCCACTGCAGCGACAGCAGTTCTGCTGCAGTTGGCCTACTGGTGGGGTGTACTGTCAAGCACGCCCTCAGTACCTCCTGCATCTTCTCTATCTCCTCCAATAGACGATTCCTCTCCTCCTCTGTATAATTCAATTTTGTTTCTGTCTTGGACCTGCAGGATCCAGATTCTGCACTTGCTCCTGTTCCTGTTGTTCCTGCTCCCTCTTCTGTTTCTGCTTCTTCTGCTCCCATTGAGGCTTCTGTTGCTCCACCTCCAGTTGCTGCTACTGCTGTTGTTTCTGCCGCTGCTGTTCCTGCCGCTTCTGTTTCTGCTGCTTCCCCTGTCGCTGCCACTTCTGCTGCTGCTTGCTTCTGGTCTAAGGAAAGCAGCCGCCCCCAACAGAAGTGCTGATGGTGGCATAAATACTTCCCAGACAGCCACTGAGTGAATCCTTCAATACACCGCTGCAGCAGAAGCAATTCTGTTTCCTTTAAGGATCCTGATGGTGCTGCTGCTGTAGTTGCTGCTGTAGTTGCTGCTGTTGCTGCTGTCTCAGGAGGGACCCTCGTGGCAACACTGGCCTGCTGAGTAGGGTCCGCACCAGGAGTGGCCAATTCTTCAGAGGCGCTACTCGCCTTCGTCTTATTTGTTACTCCTCTACCCGCTGCAGCAGCAATTGCTGCTCTGTAAGCACGAGGAGGAATCATGTAGCAAGGGGAGCCAATTGCCTTCTGCATTAAGGAAAGAAGTGACGATTTGCGCTGCAGCAGCCAACAAGAGAGCTCTGTACCGAAGGCAGAGGCTGTAGGTGCAGGAGGAAATTGTACCTTTTCTTCTTCTGTACCTTCTGCTGCAGCAGCATGACTTAATGGCAGCAGCACCTGATAGTCTAAGCCAAGGGTACTAAATAATACTAATTGTGTTATATTTCTTAGGGCCTCCTCCACCAATTGGATAGAGGAATTGGATCTTTTCTTCTTATTTTCTGTTGCTTGCTGCGCCTTTATCTTACTAACACAAGAAGGAGAAAGACCATCACAAGATGTACAGGAGGAAGAGTGCAAGGCGTCGCTCTCTGCAGATGAGGCGCTGCGGTTGTCACTGTTGCAGCGGTAACAACTACTACTGCTGCTGCTACGGCTGTTGCTGCTGCTGTTGTTGTTGTTGTTCTTGTTGCTGTTGCTGCTGCTGCTGTTGTTGTTGGATTCAAGGTCAAGAGGATAAGGCCATACCGGCCAAGGGGGCTGCAGAATGTGCATAAGAATTGCACCAAGAGTCCATATATCGTGCTTTGTACAGACAGGAGCAGCAGAGAGGACCTCCGGCCCTGCAAGAACTTGTTCAGGAGCAAGGAAGCAGAAAGGGGAGTATAGATCAGCTGAAGGAGCCAATCTTCCTCCATCTGTTAGGTAAGAAAGACCCCATTCGCTTAGTCGTACATTGCCGTGGGCATCAAGGCGGATCGTCCTTGGCTGTAATCTGTTATGAGAAAGACCCAGGCTATTCAGGTGCGCCAAGGCAGTAAGGGTCTGTGCAGCAACAGTTGCCAAGAATTGCAACTTTTCTATATCCCATCTTAGACATGGAGAGGAGGAGGAAGAAGAAGAATCTATCTTGGATTCAGATACAGCAGGTAGACCTTCGCTTTCTGCAGCACCTTCAAGGAAAGCAGCTTCCTTAGGGTCGCTGTTGTTAATAATTGCACTGCTTTCCTTGTTCCATGCATCAATTATATCCTGAAGAGAGAGAGACCAATGCTCAGATACAATATATAGACGCCTCTTTGACCGTAAGATGTTCGTGTACGTGCAGAGGTGAGGGTGGGTGACTGTCTTGAGACGATAAAAACGTGAAATTATTTCGCGGTGCGGTGGATCTGCAACACCATTTGCATCGCTTCCTCCAACTTCCCCACGAAATTGCCGATCTGGAAAATAATTTGATTCGTCATAAGAAGAAAAAGAAGAAGACTGTTTCAGCTGTGGTTCGTTCAAGTTCCTGCTGTCACTGCAAGCTGCGCCGCCATCGGGAGCGGTGGAGGAATTGACCGATTGAGGGTCCAAAGAATCCTCTTTAATGGGGTTAAATGCTTGAGAAGGTTCTTTAGGTATATTAACAAAGTCATAAGGAAATCTACTTACTTCGTCTACAGAGGAAATAAGGTGTAAAATGCTGTCATGATCTGCGTCGGCAGCAACAATGGTTTGCAAACCCAACTGAAACTCCGAGCTGAACCCTGGCGACATTCCCAGTGGTTGGATTAAATTCAACTTTAAACAACTAATTATTTCAAACTTGATTAAGCATTAAGGAAAGGAATTCTCGGCAATTATTCACATTCTTCTTCCTTATACACCACACAACACCGGACCGGTCTTCTCTCTTGAACCGCGCGCGCTGCGCTGGTGTACAGAAAAATACATATCATGAATAAACAGATAAAAATGAGCTTCTTATTGAGCTACAACTGATAATAAATATCTTCTAGAACTTTTATTCTCTAAATAAGCAGCGTTTGCCTGACTTAAGGGCCCCCCCCTGTTCAGTTCAGGGGGCCCCCCCGTCCCAGCGCATCCAAGGCGCGGTACACGATGGAAGCTTATATGCTATTTGTCTTACGGGTAATCTTAAGATAAATATCTTTATTATGCTTTTTTCTGTATTTTAACTCTAATTAAATGATTAAATAGACAATTAAATATATGGACTATGAAGGTCCCGTCACCTCGAGCCTCCTACGGGGGCCCCCACCACCAAGCTGCTCGCTAGTAGTTACCTACTGATCAACTTATTATAAGTAACTAATTGGCATCCATTGCTGCATAAAAGAGAATTTTTATGATAAATATACCTATATACATAAATAATGTGTATTTAATTAATAATAAGATATATATTTACCTATTATATATACATATTTATTCATAAGATCTATTTGCCTATTCTGCCTCCTGTCTACAACAAATGAATATATTCAAATAAAAAGAAAATTATGTCGGTAAAAAAGAAGAAAAAAAATTCCCTTCTTTCTCCTTCTGTCTGTCTATCTGTTTATAGACACAGAAGGAAGAAATATAATTTATTTTATTTGTATTTATTTACTAAATAATTATTTTCTTGCTTTATTCTTTTATTTGTTTTGCCTCCTTCTTCTTTTTTCTTTCCTCTGCTTTCTTCTTATTAACAAAACTCTCCGCTGCCTGTACCTTCGCTACCTGCAGCAAGGGAAGAAAAGAAAAGAAAAAAAAAATATTCTTTGTCTTTTTTAATTTATTATTATATTTATAGTTATTATTATTATTAGTATTAATACACCGCCATAAGAATATACAGGGAAAAAAGAAGGAAAAAAGAAGTAAATAGATAGACAACAAAGAGAGCCATACTCATACACATACACACAAACGTGCCTATACACCACAAATATAAAAAGGTATAAAGGAAATAAAATAAATAAAGGAATAAAAAAAGAGGCATTAATACCCTATACAACAAGCAGAGGTAAATAAAGCAAGAGGACATGTATAGTATAGCAATAAGAAGAACAAAGAGAGTAAGTAATAAATAAATGTATATACATATAAGGAGAAAAAGAAAATAAATGCATAATAAATATACAAAAAAATAAGGAAAAAAGAAGAAAAAAAAAAGAAGAAAAAAAGATTTACTTCTTCTTTTTTTCTTTTTGCTAATTGACGTTTACTAAGAGAAGGATTAGTTCCCTCAATAAAGAATAATGCAGCATCTAGGCTAGGGTCTTCTTCCTTCATCTTATTTGCTGCTTCTGCTGCTGCTGCTGCTGCTGCTGCTGCTGTTGCTGCTGCTGCTGTTGCTGATGCTCCTCCTTCCTGTGCAGCAGCAGATGTTTTCTTCTTCTTCTTTGCCCGTCTTTGCTCCTCCCTCTCGTCATATGCTACACAAAAAAGAATAAATAAGTAAATAAATAAGTAAATAAATAAATAAAACAAATAGATAAAATAAATAAATAAGTAAATAAATAAATAAATAAGTAAATAATAATAAAGTACCTTGTAGGAAGAGTTCATTGATTTGTTTTTCTGCTTCTTTTTCTTCTTGTGTTTTTTCTCTATGTATTTCTTCTTCTATTTCTTCTTCTTCTTCTCCTCCTCCTCTTTTCTTTTTTCTTTTTTTATTTTCTTTTTTTTTATTCTTTTCTTCTTTTCTTTTTCCTTCTTCTCCTCCTCCTACTGTACTGTCTGCCATTAACTGTTGGGCTATTGGATCGTTAGCCTGCATGCATGCATGCATGCATGCATAGCAAGTAGGTAAAATGTTGTACTTTATACAATATTATTATGTATACTATATATAATGCATATTATATAATATATATTATATATAATAAATAAAATATTATTTAGAGGAGGAGAGCAGCTGCAGCAGCAGCAGCAGCAGCAAAAGATGCATGCAAATCATCAAGATGAATTGCCATCACTAACACAAAAAAAACAAGAAAATATTTATTTATTATTATTATTAATATTATTTATATTATATTTATTATTTTATATTTATTTATATATAAATATAATTAAATAACTATATATATCTGCATATGCATATACTTACCCATAGACTATCCAGGTTTTTTGTTCCTTTTTCTTCTTTTTCTTCTTTTTCTTCTTCTTCCTCAAAGACAGAAGAAGAAATAATATCTTTAAATAGTTCCTGTATAATAAATAAATAAATAAATAAATAAATAAATAAATAAATAAATAAGTAGTAAGGAAATATATATAAGTAAATAAATAAACAAATAAAAAGAAGGAAAAAATACATATATAAATAAAAAAGGAGAAAAGAAACAATAAAACAAATAAACAAGGAAGCGCGAATAAATAAAGAAGAAAAATAAACAAAAAAAAGAGGACATATATTACTACTAATATGAATTATTATTTAATACATACATATATATAATTTATTTATTTATATATTTATATATTTATTTATTTATTTATTAATTTATTTATTAATATATACCCTAGCTTTATGCCTTTTTTCTTGTCTTTGTGTCCATTCTTCTTTATTTTGTTTATATTTATATAATTCACATTTAATATAAATTGTATAATTTTTTTCTTTTATTTCTTCCTCTATACCTAATAATTCCTCTACTATTTTCTTCTTATTCTCTGGCTGTATGCATGCAACAAACAGCAAACAACAAGCAGCAGCAGCAGCAGCAGCATAAGAAATAATAGCAGCAACAATACAACTACCAGCAGCAGCACGTGCAGCAGGTGCAGCAGCAACAGCAAAACGCGCAGCAGCAGACCTCATCTGCAGTATCCATTATTAGTCTGTCTGTCTGTCTGTCTGCTGCTGCTGCTGCTACTGCTACTCCTGCTGCTACTGCTGCTGCTGCTGCTGCATGTGTGTATGTTTGTATATATAGTGACTTACATTAGCAGCATTATAGATAGAAGTAACAAGATATCCAGCAACAGGATCAATAGCAAAAGAAGAAATAAAAGGAATTAATTTTCTTATAAAGAATTGTACTGCAGCAGGAGGTGTACATACACCCGAAGATGCAGCTATCTGCTGCAATAAACGTGAACCTAACTTGTTCTTACCCATCACCTCTAATAAAGGCCTGTATGCATGCACAAAATAAATAAATAAATACATAAATATATATAATAATTAATTAATTAACAATAATTGTCTTTTTAAGGATTCATGGCAAATATATAAAATAAATAAGGAGGAAAGGAAAGAAAAAAGAAGAAAAATATATTTAATTATGCTGCCTATACACCTCAATTCGTTTCTCGTTTGTTATTACAAGAACAAGAGAAATAAAAAAGAAGAAAAAGAAGAACAAAAAGAAGAACAAGAAAAAGAAGAACAAAAACAAGAAAAAGAACAAGAGGAGCAAGAAAAAAAAAGAAGAAAAAGGAAAAAAAAAAACAAGAATAAATAAGTATAATTTTTACCTTTTATCTATAGTTGGTGGTCCTTTTTTATTAGGATATGTATATACAGGTACATAAATAGATAAGGATTTATTAATAAATAATTTAATTGTTTTATTTAATTCATGAATAAATAAAGAAGGAAAAGAAAGAAAAGATATTAACAAAGAACAACCACTAGGATTTATTATTTCCCTTATATGTAATAAATTTGTTTTATCTTCTTTTTTTTCTTCCTCTTCTTTTTCTTCTTTTTCTTCTTCTTGTTCTTCTTCTTGTTTATCTTTCTTTTTCTTTTTCTTCTTCTTCTTTTTACCTTCTGCTTCTTCTGCTTCTGTTGATTCATCTGCTGCTGTATCTGCTGCTGCATCTGCTGCTGCATCTGCTGCTGCTGCATCTGCTGCATTTCCTGCATTAATAATTTCTTGAGGTAATTTATGTATAGGACGTAACATCAATAAACAGAACCATATATAGGGATTATTATTATTATTATTTATATTTATATTATTATTTATATTATTATTATTCTTTTTATTATTATTATTAAGAGCAGCAAACATTTTACGAGAAAATTCTTTATATTGTGCATGCAGACGTCTGCATGCATCTGCACATCGCCATAAGACAGCCCCAGTACCTCCTTCTATACATACACTAAAATCTAATGCTGCAGCAGCAACACAGACACACAGCAGCAGCAGCAGAAGCAGCACCAGCAGCAGAATAGGAGGAGGAAGAGGAGGAGGAAGAGGAGGAGGAGCAGCAATGGAGGAAGAAGGGTCTAGTTGTGGTGTATATTGAGGTAATTGATTAAATAAATATTTTATTCATTTTATTTTTTTAATTTATTTTTTATTAATATAAGCAAATAAAATAAATAAATAACTAAATAACTAAATAAACAAATAAACTAAATAAATAAATAAATAAATAAATAAATAAAATAAATAAATAAATAAATAAATAAATAAATAGATAAATACCTTCAATAAACATTTTAAGATGTGCAGCCTGAAAGACAGATGATTGAAGAATTTTCTGTACTAAAAAGTTACCAAAACGACCTAAGAAAAAGAATAAATAAATAAATAAATAAATAAATAAATTAATTAATTAATTAATTAATTAAATTAATTAAACTAAATTAAATAAGAAATTACGATTAATTAGTGTATGTATCTTAAGGAAGGGTATAGGGTTTATAATTATTGCATGCATATAAATAAGGGTTTAGGGTTTAGGGTTTAGGGTTTATATAGGGTAATAATAATAATAATAAAATAAGTGTTAATAAGGAGTAAGAAAGAGTAAAAATAAGAAGAAAAAAGGGAGAAAATAAATAAAAGAATAGATAAAAAAGGTAAATAAATAAGAAAAAGACTTACTAGCAGCAAGTATATTGACCTTTTTTACGATCCATTTAGCAAACAAATGCTGAAAATTTATTGGTGTTAATAAAGGTAATGATACCTCTAATGTACGACTACCCATGGGGCTGTCTACTAATCCATCTGCATGCGCATGCATATATTTATACATATATATAAATATATAAATATATTTATACATTAATATATTCATTATAAAAATAATAGGGTACAACTGTAGAAGCAGCAGCAACAGCAACAGCAACAGCAACAGCAGCAGCAATAGCAAGTACAGGGAGAAGAATAGCTACAAGAGCAGCAAGAACAGCAGCAGCAACAACAACAACTAATGCATTAAATAAATAAACAATAAAGGAAGATAATTACCTGCTATAGCTATTAATTCCTCGCTTGTTGTCTTCTCCTGCAGCAACAGCAGCAGAAGAAAAAAAAACAGCAGTTGCAGCAGGAGCAGCAGCAGCATCAAGAATAATAGTAGTAGCAGCAGCAGGAGGAGCAGCAGGAGCAGCAGCCACAATACTAGCAGCAGCAACAGAAGCAGCAGCAGCAGATGTAGCGAAGCAAACGCATGCATAAAGTTCAATAATATAAGTAAACAAATAAATAAATAAAATAAATAAATAAATAAATAAATAAAATAAATAAATAAATAAAATAAATAAATAAATAAAATAAATAAATAAATAAATAAAATAATGAATTACTTTATTAGGGAAAAGAAGAGCATTTAAAACTTCTTCTAATGAATCTGCAGCAAACAAAAGAAAAAAAAAAATAAATAAATAAATAAAATAAATAAATAAATAAATATAATTAATATATTTACTATGTATATATTATTCTTTTTAATTCTTTTTCTTATTCTTTATTTATTCTTTATTTATTTTATTAATTATATTTACCTGTTAGTTTATTAGCATGTAGTATAAGAAGAAGTAATTGTAGACAAGGAGAAGAATAAACATGATAAGGAATATCTAAGGGTTGTGCAGCAACAGCAGCAGCAGCAGCAGCAGCAATTTGCTGCAGTTGTATCTTATACGAAGAAGGGACTGGATATACACCCTGGATATCCCCATACACCTCAACACTAAATCCTGTACTATTACCGCTACCAGCAGCAGCAGCAGCAGCAGCAGCAGCAGCAGCAGGATTTAATGCCTGCAGTGTCTCCTCAGAGTCCTTCCTATAATGACGAGACCCTCTCCTCTTCCCTATAAAAAAAAGTAATAAAAAAAAAAAGATAAATTAAATAAATAAATAAAATAAATAAATTTAAATAAATTTAATTTATTTATACATATATTTATATAAATATATAATTATTATATAATATTTACCTGCTGCTGCAGGAAGGAGACAGGAGACACCACCAAGACATCTAATTAATGCCCTAAAGACATGAGATCCTGCTGCTGTCTTTGTTAAATATAATAAATCATCGCCATTTGCCCTATAAATAAATAAATAAATAAATAAATTAATTAATTAATTAATTAATTATAATTAATTAATTAATTAGATTAAATAAGTATTAATATTATAAAAAGAGGGATGATGTGCAGATATTCATGGATATAGGAGACACTATAGATATAAATAGATAATAAAGATAAATAAATAAATAAATATATAAATAAATAAGGAGATAAAGAAAGAAAAAGAAGAATAAAAAGAATAAAATAATAATTATTAATAAGAAAAAAGGAAGAAAAAAAAGGAAGAAAAAAGGAAGAAAAGAACATACCTTAGACGAGATATTATATACAAAATAAAATCTTCTATTGTTTGTTCCTCTATAACAAAAAAGAAAAAAAGAAAAAAAAGAAAAAAAGAAAAAAATAAATAAATAAATTAATAAACAAATAAATTAATTAATAATAATTAACAACAAAGGATTCTTTATATTTAAAAAGAAACAAAGAATAAATATACAAATAATAAATTAAAAAAATAAAAGTATTTAATCTAATTAATATATTATAATTAATTAATTAATTAATTAATTAATTATATTTAATTAATAAATTATATTTAATTAATTAAATTAAATAATTAATTAATTTACTTTCTTTATTAATATTATTGTTATATTGTTGCTCAAAGTTGTATACAGCAGGTACAGCTAATAATAAAGTTTGTAGTACATGGGATCCATTGGGGTGTATAGACAGCTCAGCTGCAGCAGCAGCAACATGACGAAGAAGAGATATAAATACTTTTAAACATTCTAATCTTGTATTTATATTCTTCTTATTATTATTGTTATCATTGCTGCTGCTGCTGCTGCTGCTGCTGCTGCTGCTGCTGTTGCTGTTTGCTGCTGGTCCTTGTGCTATAAATATAGATAATAAAGAAATCAATTTCTCTATGACGCGGCTGCATTGACGATCAGATAGAAGCAGTAAACCCTAAAAAAAGAAAAAAAAATAGAAAAAAAAAGAAGAAAAAAGGAAAAATAATATTCTTTTATTTACTTCTTTTCTTTTATTCTTTTCTTCTTAGGGTTATGTGATTATAAACACTCAGAAGAAAGAAGAAGTAAGATATATTCAGCAATACATATCTTAGGGTTTAGGGTTTAGGGTTTAGGGTTTAGCATATGTTGCTAAACCCTAAAACAATTAAGAGGGGAAAACTCTCATAAAAGAAATAAGAATAAAATATATGAATTTAACAACACAGCAGCAGCAGCAGCAGAATAAGAAGAAACAAAGCAAAGAAAAACGAGAGAAAGAAAAACTTGCAGCTAAACAGCAAACAAAAAAGGGAAACAAAAAAAAAGCATTAAAGAGGCACTCTGCATGCACGCAGAATAGTCTAATGGTTTTAGGGTTTAGGGTTTAGGGATTAGGGTTTCAGATGATGGCAGTGTTTCCTTCTTAAGAGTAAAATAAGTGCATTATTTATAGCTATATATTATTTATTGTTTCTTTATTAATTATTATTTATTAATTATTTATTAATTATATAAATAAATAAATAAATAAATAAATAAAGTACCCTATTCCTGATTTCTTCAACAGTAGAGGAAACAAAAGATTGAAATTCTTCATGATCATGAAAAGGTTTATTATCTATGATTTCTTTTATTCTATTAAAATAATCAGCAATATCTGGTGATTCTTCTTCTTTATTTCTTCTTATTTGTCCTTTTTTTCCTCTTTTTTCTCCATAATTTATATGAGGATCGCCTCCATCTTCTTGTTCTTCTTCGCCTCCTTCCTCATTCGGGTGTACAGACACCTCAAAAGTTGAATCTTCTGCAGTTGATTCATTATCAACAGCTTTCTGCTTTTTATGTTGACGCTTTCCTCCTCTTCTTTTCCCCATCTGTTTTTAATTCCTTTCTATTTATTTATTTTATTGTTTACTATTTTATTTATTTTATTTATTTCCTTTTAATTCGTTGCTCTTTTTCCTATTCGCATCCTTGCTGCTATGTTCAGATCAGCCTATGATGAAGGAAAAAGCGCATTTCCTCCTCTTCTTCTCTTTTTCTTGAAACGTTGATATATTTAAATAAAAAAAGACAAAAAAAAGAATAAAGAAAAAAGAATAAAAGAATAAATCAAGAAAATATACTCCTTTTGTTTCTTTCTTTCCCTCCCTATACGAAGTAGCGAAGAAGGAAGGAGTTCAAGTCTTAAGAAAAAAGCAACAAAAAACAAAGATATAATATTCAATATAATTAAATATTCCCTTTTTATATTTTTATTAACATTTACTCCTTTTTACCGCCAATACAATTCCTCTACCTTCCTGTGGGGCAATCGGTACCCTCGAAAGGGCCCCCTGGGGCCCCTAGGGGCCCCTGGGGGCCCCTACCTAGTAGGCAGTGGCGAGGTCTAGTTAGGGGCAAATAAGAGGAATTGAAGAAGAAAAAAAAAGAATAATAAAGGAAAAAAGTAAAAGTATAAAGAGAAGAATATTTATATTAGCTGTATAATAATAACTAGGGCATTCGTTGTTCTATTTTATTCTTTTGTTCTTTTTATTTATTTGTATATTTATTTTTATTTATTATTATTTTATTATTATTATTATATTTAATTTTATTATTTTATAATTAATAAATAAAGATCTTCTTTCCTTAGAGGCATGCAGCAAGTGCCTCTCTTTATTGACAAACACAACGAACAGTATGCGCTACAGCAGCAGCAGCAGCAGCAGCAGCAACAGCAGCAGCAATTGTTAATAGTTTGAGCCAATTACTAGCATATGCATGCATCTTATTGTAACAATAAATTTATTCATTTTTTCTTTCTTTTCTCCTTTTATTACTCTAAATAAAGTAATTTTATTTTATATATTTATTTTATTTATTTGTTTATATTTATTTTATTTATTTATTTATTTATATTTATTTATTTTATTTATTTATTCATTTTATTTATTTATTTAATTCACCTTTTGTACTAATAAAAGAATATAAATAAATATAATAAACACTTTAATTAATTAACTAGTTAACTAACTAACTAACTAACTAACTAGATAAATAAATAAATAAATAAATAAATAAATAAATAAATAAAATAAATAAATAAAATAAATAAATATTTAAATAAATAAAATATTAAATTAAAAAGAGTTGCAAAGACAAAATGCATGCATGCATGCATAAATAATAAATAAATAAATAAATAAATAAATAAATAAATAAATAAATAAATAAATGGATAAATAAATGTATTTATTTTAATCGTCTAGAAGGGAATGAAACTTTATAAGGAGAAGCAGCAGCAGCAGCAACAGCAGCAGCAGCAGCATCAGCAGCAGCAGGAGATAAATTATCACTCTTTTGTCTCCTTAATCTTAACGAGTGTCTCCTTATTAATACTTCGCTAACTTCTGTCTCCTTATCTGCATCCCTGCTGCTGCTGCTGCTGCTGTCTCCATCTGCGCTGCTGTTGTTGCTGCTGTTGCTGTTGTTGCTGCTGCTGCTGCTGCTGTTGCTGGTGCTTCTTGCAGGGGAAGCACGAGGCCTACGGCCTCTTGTCCCTCCTGCTGCTGTTGCTGCTGTTGCTGCTGCTGGTGGTGGTGAATTGCGGCTTTCTTCTTCATCACATTGCATCATTCCTTCCCCGCTGCTGCTGCTGCTGCTGCTGCTGCTGCTGCTGCTGCTGCTGCTGCTGCTGCTGCATGAATCTTGCATTTGTTCATACTTTCTCCTCTGTTTCAGCGGCTGCACCTCTGCTGCTGCTGCTGTTGCTGCTGCTGCTGCTGCTTCTGTTATTGCTGTTGCAGTAGTATGGGCTCTACGCAACTTGTGCTGCTGCATCTGCTGCTGCAGCAGCTGCTGCTCCATTTGTTTATGCAGACGTGTTAAGGATTCAATTTTCTGCTGCTGCTCAGCAGCAACTTGTTCTGCTGCTGCTTGCTGCTGCTGCGCCTCTCTTAGCATCTTCTTTGCTGCTATTAGCTGCTGCCTTAATTTTGCTGCTTCTTCTTGTCTCCTTTTCTTATCTTCTTCCCATTTCTGCAGCGCGCCTGCTTGCTGCTGCTGCTCCTGTTGCTGCTGCTGCTGTTGCTGCTGCTGCTGCTGTGTCTGCATCTGCTGTAGTTGCTGCTGCAGACTCTCGATAGTGCTCTGCTTCGCCTCCAGCTCTCGTGCTGCTGTTTGCTCTGCAGCAGCAGCAGCTGCTGCTGCTGCTGCTTCTATTGATGCCTTCTCCTCCTTTAGCTGCAGCAACTCCCTCCGTGTCTCCTCTAGTGCTGCTGCTGCTTCTGCTGCTTGTGACTGCAGCAGCGCTACCTGTTTGCTGCTGCTCTGTTTAGCTTCTGTTTCTTTTTCTACCTGCTGCTGCAGTGATTGCTGCAGTGTATGTACAGCTGCTTCTGCTGCTTCTTTCTGTTGTGCTGCTGCTGCTGCCTTCTGCTGCTGCTCAGCAACTTCTGCAGCAAAAGTGCTGCTGCGCTTCTCCAGTGTCTCCGTCAATTCTGCTGCAGCAACACGCTGCAGCAGCAACAGCAAAAACAGCAAAAAAAGAAAGACATAAAAAGAGATATAAAAAGAGAAAGAAAAAGACATAAAGAAAGAGACAAAAAGGAGACAAAAAAGGAGACAAAAAGGAGACAAAAAAAGGGCACAAAAAAGGAGACAAAAATGGGGAGAAAAAGGAGACAAAAAAAGGAGGAAAAAAGGAGACAAAAAGGAGACAGTCTTACTAGTTCTTCTATTTGTTTATTTTTATTATTTATTTCTTCTCTTAATTTATTTATTTGTTTGTCTTTGTCTTGGGTCTCTTCCCTCTGCTGCTGCAGCTGCTGCTGCAGTTGCTGCTGCTGCTGCTGTTGTAGCTGCTGCTGCTGCTGCAGATCCTGCAGATATAACAACAAACAAAAGAAAAATAAACAAACTTCTTCTTATCTATTTATTAATTAATAAAATAAATAAGTAAATTAATTGAATAAATAAACAAATAAATAAATAAATAAATTAGTTAACTAATTAATTAATTAAATATAAAATAAATAAATGAATAAATAAATAAATAGGGAGGAACATACAGCAGCAGCTTTTTCTGCAGCAAGCGCTGCTTGTTGCCTTTCTGCTGCTGTTTGCTGCTGCAGTTGCTGCTGCTGCTGCTGCAGCAGTTCAATTTGCTGCTGCAGTTGCTGAACTTTGCTGCTGGCTCCCTCAAAATCTGCTTGCATAGCTGCATGTGTCTTAGCAGCATTTGCTGCTGCTGCTGCTGCTGCTGCAGCAGATTTCTGCAGTTGCTGCTGCTGCTGCTGCAGCAGCAAACAGACACGACCGTCCCCCTCTACTGCAGCAGACAATGCATTAACTAAGGAAAGGTTTTGTGTTAATACGCGCTGCTGCTGCAGCAGAGACTGCCGCAGCAGCACGCTGCATGCATCTTCAGGTGTATCTGCAGCTATGCATGCAGCAGCAGCAGCAGCAGCAGCACCATTCATTAAACCACGACGACCTAATGATGTATTCATCTTTTTTTCTTCTTTTTTCCTCTTTTTTCTTCTTTTCCTCCTTTTTCTTCCTTTTATTCTTTTTATTCTTTTTTTATTATTCTTGTTTATTCTTTATTTTTCTTTTTTCTCCCTCTTTTTTTTTTTATTCTTGTTCTTCTTATTCTTCTTGTTCTCCCTTGTCTATTCTTCCTTTTCTTCTTCTTCTTTTTCTTCTTTGTCTTTTATTACCTATTTATATGCATTTATTAATCCATAAGGAAAAGGAAAAGAAAAGAAACATAATGCCTATACATGTATATATATACGTAACTCCCTTTATATATAAATAAATAAATATGTATATGTATATATACGTATGTATATCTGTATATGTATATATTTATCTGCTGCAGCAGCAAAGAGGTGCCTATACACCCAAAAAAAAGAGTTAAAATTCCCTTAATAAAAGAAAAAAAAGAAAAGTTGCTGCTGCATGCATGCAGAGGGAGAAAAAGGGATTAGGGTATTAAAAAGGGGGAAAAGAAGAGAAAAAACAAAATAAATACATAATAACAATAAAATAAAAAGAAAAAAAGAATAAAAAAACAAAAGAAAGCAAAGAAACAAAAAGAATAAATATACTACTAGTATAAATATTGTATATATATATTATTTATTTATTGAATATGTATAAACAACACCCCCCCCCTAAGGGAAAAAAGAGGAAAAAGGGGGGAAATAGGGGTATTTGTTGGCGATGAAGGGTTAAAAACATGAGAAAATGCATAAAAATGCATTTATTTTATATTTAAATGAATAAAAAAGGGAAAAAAGCATCTAATTAGCATACAGTAGCCTTATGGGGCCTCCCTTCTTATATATATATTGACTGCACATAGCCAGACCGTTATTTTTGTGGTGTACATACACCCGAAATACACAACAGGGAAAATTATTTTTGTTTCTTCTTTTTTGTATAAAAATAAATAAATAATTTAATTTATTTATTATTTATTTATTATCTATTTATTTTATTTATTTATATTATTTTATTGGCCTTTTTATACCCCTAAGAGGGAGGGAGGGGGGAGGAGAGGGGGGTCTGTTGTTGTGTGATTGTTATGACGACCAGTAGATCACGGCAATAAAAAAAGGAAAAAAAAAAGGAAAATAAATAAATAAATAAATAAATAAATAAACAAGCAAATAAATAAATAAATAAATAAATAAATAGATGTCTTTATATTGTTTTATTCCCCTTCTCCTATAACTCTGTATATCTATAGTTTATATTTATACTAGTATTAATTCTATTAATATTGCTAATATAGCTAAATTGAATAAAAAATAAAATAAATAGATAAAAAGTATTATATATATAATAAGATATATATAATTATTTAATTAATAAACAAATAATAATTATTTAATTGTATTTATTGTTTGTTTGTATTTATTGTACTACTATATGCCACATCTGTATATCTGTTACTACTGTTACTTTGCTGCTATTGCTGCTGCTGCTGCTGCTGCTGCTGCTGTTGCTGTTGCTGTTGCTGTTGCTGCTGTTGCTATATTTATATATAAATAAGTATTATTTATTCATTTTTTTATTTAATTATAGATAATAATTAATAATAAAATAAAGAAAAAAAGGTTAAATATAAATAAAAGGACAAAAGAAAGAAAAAAAAAAAAAAAACAAATCTTATTTAATTAAAAGAAACCCCACACTTTTATATCTACCAATTCCTCCTTTAAATAATAATAATAACAGCAGCAGCAGCAGCAGCAGCAGCAGCAGCAGCAGCAGCAACTGGAGCAGCAATAGAAATAGCAGCAGTAGAAGAAAGAATATATGCTATGCTGCTGCTCCCTTTTATTAAATAGTATAATAATATTTATCCCTATTCCCTTTTCTTGCTGCTGCTATAATGCTGCAATAATGCTGCAATACAGTACTGCTGCTGCTGCTGTTGCTGTTGCTGTTGCTGCTGTTGCTGCTGCTGCTGCTGTTGCTGCAGCAGAAGCAGCAGAAAAGAAGAGTTGCTGTTACACATGCAACTCCTCCCTAACAAAGCCACACATTTCTTAATAATAAACACTGCCTACTTATCTTATCTTGCTGCAGCAGCAACAGCAGCAGCAACAGCAGCAACAGCAGCTGCTGCTGCTGCTGTTGTTGCTGCTGCTGCTGTTGCTACTGGCATGTGTGGCATTAAATATGTATGTATCATCCTGCATAAAAGGAGACACAAATAAATCTTTTTTTCTTTTTTTTTTTTCTTCTTTTTTTCTTCTATTTCTCCTTTATATATAAAGAAAGGAGAATATATATTAATAACAACAACAGCAACATGCAACAGCAGCAACAGCAGCAACATGCAGCAGCAGATGCTGCTGCTACTACTACTACTGCATAGTTGCTTCTTGT